CAAGATTGAAGGCTAAGTAAGAAAATGATGTATCCCAAACACCTGCCATGCTATCCGGCATGAGTTAGGAGGCAACATAAGGTAACATGATGATCGCTGGTTTAGGAGTCACACTTGGATCTGATTTGTGCTGCACCATTTGCTATCTGTATTATATGGACACAGCACTTCTCTGAGACCCAGATTCTTCATTTGTAAATGTGGACAGGAACACAATTACTATGTTGGGTTCAATGGTCCCTTAAATGAGATGTCTGTCAGGCTTACATTATAATGCACAGAAGATAGCGGACACTCAGTGCATAATAATTAATGTGATGTGATAGTTCTAGGCTAAGTAAAGGGGATACAAAGATAGATAAATGATCATTGAATTCAAAGAAGGTGAAGCCCAATATGAAAGGCTGACATACATTTACAACAGTGTAATAGTGTAATAGAAGTGTGCAGAGTGCACGCAGGTAGGACTAAGGTAGGAAGAGATGAATTCTGACATTAATATTTAATATATTTTTGATTAGGAGCTGCAAAAGTATCAAATTCTGTTCATTATTTCCCTGCTTTGATGTGGGATTGAAAAGCCTTGGGGAAAATGTTTAGCTCCTTGTTAGTTGGCCCACTCAGGCATTGCCAGGGCCACTGAATGAGTTTACCATCTTAGGAATGGAGTAGAAATTATCAGGCTCCTCAAATTCAGTACCTAGTGGAGACCATGCAAGATAGAGGCTAAAAAGAATTCTGAGTCACCACCTTATGTTTTGACAAAACAAAATAGAACAAAGCCACAAAATGTGTATCTATGGTGGCTATCCCAAAATAACATGTATTTAAATAAAATTAAATGAAGGTCAATATTTAAAAATGGATAGAAAAAATATTAATTTACAAAGTTTTAAGATAAAAATCTTGTTTCATTTTTTTTTAATTTTTACTTTTTAATGAAGCATAATATATCTAACTTTGGTGGAAAATGTAGTAAAATAAAAATATTGAGAACAACCTTTAAGTCAGTACAAGACAATGTTTCTACAATTTTATTACTAACTAATATATCTATGTCTTTTCTCTTCATCCACCAGCCCATCTGTGTATCTACATTGTAATAATAAGGAGAAATAGCCAGCTAAAACATTTGACTTAGTTGGCAAATTTTTTATAGTTCATGCATCTCTAAACTTTAGTAGTTTATTATTATCAGCATTATGTATTTAAATGAATGCAGCCTGGTCTCAAGAAAAGAAAATGACCATATTAAAGGAAAAAAACTAAAACTGTAGCCTTCTTCATGAGTAACACTGAAAACTGTAAAGCACATTAAAATCTCATTTAACAAATAGCAGAACCTAATGAACATTGGGATTGCTCAGTGAATGCTAATATGGGATATTGCTGGGAAAGATGTTTACGTGATGAAATTTCTCATAGCTCAAAATGGTTTCATAGATTAAAGAAAGCAACATCTGTTGCTCAAAGACAAATGAAATTTGTCTGTTCATTGAATATATTTCTGTTTTTGTTTTGTTATATTTTAAATTGTTCTTAAAGTACTCAATTACTTATATTTTATTTTGTAACTCTCTAATACTTTCCTTATATTTTCCTTGTCAATTTTATATTGAAAACCCTGGGACTATAACTATATACAATTGACTAATCTGCTATTTAGTAAATTGTGATAGTCTTTCATATAATAAATTACTAGTATAGTAATCATAAAATCATGTAATTCTGAAATTACAGTGATCATAAATATAAGTTTTTCATGTGACAGTCCATTAATTGCAGGCAATTAGGTGTCACAATACATTCATATGAGTTCTGGCCTTTGACCTGAAGACCTGATTCTAACAGTTCAGTATATTTTCTTTGTCTGATCAAATAAGTAATGTCTTCTATTTATCTCATTTTACTCATCTGAAATGTGGATACTAAGCTCAGTGTATTGTTTGTCATGGAGTATGTTACTAGTTATTAGTAATATAACTGCATTCCATTCATCTATCCACTCACTTATTCATGAATATATGTAGGTACGTATTTAGTATTGTATCCACCCATTCACTCATCCATCTGGCCATGTATTCAGCATTTATTTATCCTTCTGTCTATCTCTCAATCCAACAAAAGTGCACTTAGCATATATGGAGATGATCAAGCTGGATATATAGATGGCACAACAGGATCTCTGCTCTCAAGGAGTAGCTCATCAGCTCACGTAAACATACGCAAAAACCGTTGCTAGTTTAGTAACTCTTCCAAAGCATACGTTGTGGTAAGAAAAATTGCCAGATACAGAAATTCTACCCCCATGTGTATACCCAAAAGGATTAAAAATGGTACTCAAAAAATACTTGTACAAAAAATATTTGTTTACACTGGTACTGTTTTATAGCCAAAAAATGGAAACAGTCCAACATCCATCAGCAGATGAATAGATAATCAAAACATGGTGTATTCACAAAATACAGTTTTTCTCAGTCATAAAAAGGAATGAGATATTGATACATACTAAGACATGGATGAACCTTCAAAATATTGTGCTAGTAGAAACCAAACACAAAAATAACATATTATATGATTCCATTTGTATGAAATATCCAGAAGAGGAAAACCCAGAAAGCGGACTTAGGCTTACCAGGGGTTGGAGAAGAGTGGTGCAGGGAATGATTGCTTAAATAGGGTTTTCTTTGCAGCTAATGAAACTGTTCAAAACTAGTTAGAGTTAGTGGTTGAACAACATTGTGACTGGGCTAAATAACATTTTAAAGGGATTAATTTTATTTTATATGAATATTCACCTCAATTTTTTTAAAAAAGAAAGAATTTCTGGTGACACTTCATATACAAGTTATTTAACGGGAAAAAAATGACCTTTCAGAGATTTTCCAAAAATCTCTATGTAACCTGATCACTGTAAACCAGTGATTTTTTAATCCTTACCAGTTTCAGACCTTCTGCCAGGTTTTCCAAGCTGTAACCCAGAGAAGAATGCATTCAAAAAAATAGTGCTGCGTGAGTTAATCTGTAGCTAAAATAATCTGCTTGTCTTTTAAGGATGCCAACTAGCACTTTAACACTTGGCTATGACATCCAAATGCCTGTTTTCTCAAATGTGAACTACATTTTATTTTCTGCTTCTTGATGTTGTATGGATTCATACATATATTTCAAGATACTATCAAAGGTCCAGGATTGGTAAAGTGGAGGTAATAACAACAAAGATTTTAGAAACTTGTTGCCCACAAGCTTACAGATTTGTTAGAGGGTTTTCTTTCTTTCTTTTTTTCTTTTTTGGATACATTTAATGAGCTTTGTTCTCTAGCTTGATTATAGGGTACATTCCCAAAACTGGCAAGCTTTTTGGTAACAGCGAATTGCCAATCAATAAAAATCTACCACCACTCTGGAGAAAGCAAGTAAAAATGTGTGCCCTAGCAAGAGTCAGTTGCATCTTTCTTATGTTTAAAAGATGTTATGTGATATGATATGGAGGTCTAGCAAGCATTTTTTAAATAATAATTATCATTATGCATCAATAGCAGTCATTTAATTTGTGCTCTTCAGTTTAAAATTTATTTTGATTCATTAAAATGACAAGAAAGCTAGTTTGGGGGATACAAATAGTATTCTATTCTGTGTCTACTGTAAATGAGAATATAAAATACCTACTAATAATCAACCACATGTGTTATGTCTTATATCAAGAACTTCATTATTTAATTTAATCCTTTTATCAAGCTCATCATATATGGACTCATATGGTCTCTACTACCTAGATGATGATATTGAGGCCTAGAGAGTTTAAGTAATTTCCCCTTGTCTACAGGACTGGAAAATGTCAGAGACAGGGCATGAATCCTGGTCTGACCCCTGAGTTTGTTTTCTTAAAGATGAAGTGTTTAAAAAGATCTTATATTTTAAAGTGAAGAAAAACCAATACTACACAATAACATTTATTTAAATTGTGACTGTATATCATTTGCATAATTTTTTGGAAGGAAATACACGCGCAATATGCATATACTCATGTAACAGCATTTTTCAATTTAGCCAAACTGGCTTTTCCTGAAACTAATAAGTTATATCAAATCACTCTGCTAAAATCAGACTGGAAAGAAGTACTGATAGAATAAAACCCATAGACACAGAAAACAATGAATTCAGTTTAAGCATAAGACAAATTAATTAGTTCAACTAAACATTTGAGAATGCTTGTCTTTTACCTACCAGTGTGCAGATTTATTTTTTTAAGATTTTATATATTTATTTATTTATTTTAGAGAGGGAAAGGAGGGAGATAGAGAGAGAGAGAAACATCTGAGGGAGATAGAGAGAGAGAGAGAAACATCAATGTGCGGTTGCTGGGGGTTATGGCCTGCAACCCAGGAATGTACCCTGGCTGGGAATTGAACCTGGGACACTTTGGTTCCCAGCCCACTCTCAATCCACTGAGCTACGCCAGCCAGGGTTATTTTTGAGGGAAAAAAAAAACAAACAAACACATATAACTTTCTCTCTCTCTCTCCTACCTTTTCTCTCAAAAGAATGGCTGAGACTAAATATGCTTTTCATGCTTTCTCTCTATGTTTTAATCCTGTGCACCATGCTCTTTCTCTACTTCATCCTATTGTCTCCTTCTGCTTTTCTGGTTTAAATAAGTCAGTCACATGAATGTTTTATGTTTTAAGTATCTTTCCAAACATGTGATTTTAACTCTCAAAAAAAAAAGGAAACAAAACACACCCAAAAAATAAGAAATGAGCAAGAATAATCTCATATCTCTTCAACATTTGATGGTGATAGTAGTTGTGAGCACTTTTGACTGGGCAGGCTTCACCTAATATAATGAATGACCAGAGCTTCAAACTGTGGGCATTCTTTAGCCTTTTCAGCACAGAATTTGCTTATATTTACATCAATATCACTATACTATTCCGCAAACTGTATAATACCTAGGAGCTTGTTTTCTTATTTACCATGTCCTCTTCCCTCTGCCCCAGGCTGAGTTCTGTTGGCCTTGAGTCTGCTGTGCCTTATCCAACTGAAGGAAGCTTTGCAGCAGCTGTGGAAGTCTGCCAGTGTCCACAGGGGTACACTGGATCCTCTTGTGAAGTAAGTTTGAAATATGTCCTTAGTGCATTCGAAGGTCATTCATCATGTCTTTCAATCAACTGTTCTAAAAAGAGGCTAGTTTGCTTGTTTTTTTATACTCAAGATGGCCCAAACAAATGATAGTATATTACTTGAAGGAAATGGAATGTCTGCCAAAAAGCCATGGCTTTCAAACAGAGTGCAACTCACATAATGTCTTCTTGAAATTATGTTTCTTTTGGAGATATGTTGCCTTACTGTAGCTGAAAATGTGATGTTTTCATAAGTGTTTGTTCCCTATTTGGTGGAAAAATAGAATGGATGATAACAAATATGTTTCAAAATATTTTCTCTTTATTTCCACCATAATGCCAGAAATTTAGCACTCTTTTTTTTTTGCTTTTTCTCCATTTACTATTCTTGTGTGCCATTCTCTCTCTCTACTTTATTCCTAAGAATACAGCAAAATCACAGTCATCTAAAAGGACACTATCTTTAAAATATCAAGAGCATACTACATGGAAGAAATACCTTGATCTAGAAAATTCCCTACAGGTCTTTGATTTGTTATCATTTAGGTAAAATTCGAGACGTTTATTGTTGTCTCAATATTCTAGATTCATGGTGATATTAATGTTTCTTACTTAATGACCACAATGTGTCATTTAAAGGTAATAATTTTTATTTATTTCAATGTAAATTCTTTAGGAAGTTTGAAAATTGATTTTACTTGAAACCTGATCAAAAGTCACAAACACCAATTTCCTAATAGAAAGCATGGCTTGCAGATAAATAGGCGCTTAAATTCTTAGAAATGGAGCTTTTAAGGAATCATTTGACTGTGCCAAGATGTTCCACTTCAGCACACTACCCCATTATGCCATTTATAGAAATACTCTAGGCGTTGCTTTGTCAGTTCTCTTGTGCTTTAAAATAACACATGCTTCAAGAGCATACACAGGGTTTAGATTCATATTTGTGACAAAATGTGTTTTCTTTAATGGGGCTCAGATGTACCTATCTAGAATAAAACTAAATGTAATTCATTGAAGCACTCACTTTCCCAAAATTCATGTAAAGAAGAGAAATATAATCATGGAAATGAATTAGCTCTGTCAACCAAAATTTAATTTTACATTTAAAATACATGCTGTATTTAATGAAACATATTCTTTTATTGAGCCAACCAGTTTTTATTTCAAACCAGAAAACTCTCTTTGAACATTTAAGTTCCTTTTTCAGTTGAAATAATAAATACCTTGATCCTATTCTTGCTTTAACACTTATTCCCACATTAGTAATTCTCAGTAATTCTTCATCTTCTTTTATACAAGTTCCAAATGCCCATTAATACAAAATTGTCTGAATATTAGAATTGTTTAATTGGCTATACTTTTTGTTTCTTCTTTCCCCTCTTCAAAAATATTTATTGAGAGCCTTTGGTAAATGATTCACTGGATGCTGAGGGGATTATCAAGAAGATTACATCATAATCCCTGTCCTTACAGAACTAACAATCTGTTTAGGGAGAAAGAACAAATACCTACGCAAAATTGGATTACAGCACTATATAATTAGGAGGCCAGTAAGTGGTATAGAACATAAGTGCAACAGTCATTCAAAGACATGAACAATTCCAGTGGAGAGAGATGTCACAGAAAATATCCTGGAGTGAAAAACCTGAAATTGTAGCTAACAAATGCTAACAATTAGGTAGGAAGAGAGTAGCATGCAAGTATAGAAGAGTCAAAATTCTATTTTGGAAGAATAAGAAAAGCTTCCTCTGCCTCTCACATAATAATTATTTGATACAAAAAGTTATTTTGAAGCCTACAAAATAATGTAATTGAATCAAAGGCGATGAATTCTGGAACTCTAGAGTTTCTGTTAGACTGCCATATTTCTACTCTCTAGTAATTCCTTCTCTATCAAAACTTCCTATCCCTAGACTCACTATTAGTCATTCCTATCCTTTCCTGATTTTATTTGATTTTGTACTGAGTTCATAAGGCCAGGACCTCTAGCTTTGTTATCACTGGTACCCACATACCTTTCAAGAACTGAGTCAATTCCACAGACCATTGATGCCTTAACAACTAGGTTGCCAGAAACCAATCAAGTGACCCCATTATAAAATTATCCTCTTTTTTTTACTTGGAGCCACAATGTTTATTCAGAAGCATTTTTTTTTCATTTCTACTTGACTTACAAGTTCCTCTACAGTTCATCTTTCAAATACTTTCTGTTTTCCAGTCTCGCCATAATTTATTTCACTTGACAGGTGGGACAAGTGAGAAAGTGAAAGCAAAGTGAGATACTGAAAAGAAAGAAGCATTTAAATTCAAATCTCAGTTTTCTCTTCTGTGTGATGGAAATATTAACCAACTCATAGAAGTATCTATACTTCTATTTAGCTAACAGATATTAATGGTCACGTATTTTGAGACATTCAAGACCTTGGACATGGATGATAACGTGAACAATGTGGATATGGTCCCAGCTTTCCAGGACATTACATTTAGTGAAAAGTTAGACAATATGCCAGGAATCGAATTAAATAAATGTGATAAAACTCCATGAAGAAAGTAAACAGGTGCTTCCATAGAGATACTGAAAATTGGCTGTCAGAAAATTAAATGGAAAGTACTACTTTATAAACAGTCATCAGGAAAGGCTCTCCGAGGTGGTAACAGCTAACCTGAGTTTAGGGTCAGCTATACAAAAGGAGCTGATGAGAAAGTGGAATAGAGCTTGGAGTCTGCAGGGGTCTGAAATGGAGCAAGTTGGCTGGTGCTTACTTAGTAAGCAAGTGAGAGAGTGGTGCAGGTGTGTTTGGAGGAGCAGGCCATTCAGAGCTTTGCATCCATGGGATTTTATTCTAAGTGCAATGGAAAATCATTGAAAGGCTTTAAGCTGAATGGTGCCATATCAGAGTTACATTTTTTTTAAAAAGTTATTGTAGCTACAGTATGAAAACATATTATAGAGGACAAGAATGGTTAATATGCTACTGTGGCAGAAGAGAGTGATAATAATAATAGTTTGTGTTGGGATAATGGCAGGCTAGGTGGGAAGATGTGTTTATTCTACCTGTGTTTTATAGACCAAATGCCAACGGAAAGTTAGATAAAGAATTTAAGAATGAGTCAGATTACTAGCTTGAGGAATTGGAAGTGCCATTTACTGAGCTGGAGAAGACTGGGTGAAGAATAGCTGGAGGGGTGGGGTTGAAATCAGCAGTCCATTTTAGAAATATTAGGGATGAAAAACCCTATGAAGTATAGGTTTCAATGTACAATTAGAGTATGCAGGTCTTGGACTTTGAATGTCTGTCTGGTCTAGAGATATGTGTTTGGAAGGCCTCATCAACTGTGGGACTGCGTACAATTCCTTAGCAGAGCATGTGATAAAAAAGAGAAAAATGACTATGTCTCCAGGAGCTCCTGACAAAGAGAAGCGAAGTGGAAGCAGAAGAGACAGCAAAGGGATAGGTCAGAAACTTGGGGACTGTGAGGTCATGAAAGTTACAAGAACAAGGTGTCGAGGGAGAAAGGAATCAACTAAACCAATGTGGACGAGAGGGCGGATTGCCCATTGGATTTGGCTACCTGAAATTTGGTGGCACGCACAAGAGTAGTTTTAAGTGAGTGGTGGCTGCACAAAATGGGTTAGCATAGAATAAAGAAGCATGAAAGGGAAGTGAGGAAGAAAGCCTTTTGAGAGTACTTTTACTGAAAAGAAAAGCCAGCAGGTAACTGGAAAGTTATGGGATATTAAAGAAATAATTTTGTCATTTTTGTTATTTCCATTAGTTAATTTTTGGTGGGGATACTAGATCATATTTTCAAATGATCCAATAGAAAAGAAAACTATTACTGATGTAGCACAGAGGGAGTACTAGGAAAACAATAGATAAAGATCACAAGTGGGGTGACATTCCTTTGAGAGGGTAAGGAACCCTGCCAGCCCCAACCCCCATGCTCCAGAGGGGAACATGGGCAATGAGATAAACTCTTGTGCTTCTGGAAGGATGGCTTCCTGTGGCTTCCAATGTCTCCGTGACTAATGAGGTGAAATCACTGGATGAGAGAGAGAGAGCTAAGGAGTTTAGAAGTTTAAGAGGATTTAATATGAGTAGTACATTTACAAAGTATGAAAATAAAGCTCATTAATGACAATTCTATGCGTATCTGTCCTAAAAACATTGCATCAGTTCTCTCCCTATTATCAACACCCTTAATTTCTACCTCTTTCTGAATACCTAGCTCCCCACTTTTTTTTTACAAATATATATTACAGAGGGAAATCTCTTCTACAGTGTAGGAGAGATTATAGGGTAGCAAAACTTTTAGTGGGGAGAAATTATTAGAGAGGGATAGAAAATTAACCCCTCCTTTTTGACCTACCCAAATTAAGAGGAAGGTTACTTTTACTTTTCTTTCAGACAAGAAGTATGAGCACATCGCTTTTTTATGTGTTTGTTATCAATGTTCCAATTTAAGAGTCCTCATATCCTCAGGCAGAAGGAACATTTCTAACAATACACAATACAATTCTATGTACTTTATTACTTCAATGATTTCTCTGTTGTTTTCATTTTGAACTGGGAACAAAGGCCTTTTCATGATATGTTGTAGTTACCCACCCAGAAATAAAGTAAATAACGCACAGAATGCAATTGTAACTTGAGGGAAATTAAAAGCTCCTAGAGGACAGCAGTATTTGCACCCCACCTGCCTAATCTCGTGCCCCGTTCAGTCTGTAGTGACCCCTACAGAAGAGAAATGTAATGAAGGGCAATGGTGTTCTTAGAGCTGGCCCTGACACAGAGGTATTCTAAGACCCAAATATTCTTTTTAAATCAGATTTCTGTTTTCATGTGATACAGTGTTTCATACTTTAAAAAAAGAAATGAATACAAGAGTGCTAGTAGAATAACACCATAAAACAAAATAACAAGGGAACATATGGTAAATAAATCATAAATTATTTGGTGCAAAGTTGAGATAGCATAATAGGATGAAAGAAATTAAGAATGAAAGATAGGATTTATATACGTGTAGAAGTTTGCAGTGTATGTGATCAAATGTAAGAGTTGGTGCTACCTTCCAAATCATTGCAAGGATTTTCTGAAAGTGGCGGTGTTAAGGGCAGTTTGTATGTGGGAAAGGCAGTGCATTCCAGAGAATCGACATTCCTTGGGATGAGCTTACGTGCTAAGATAGGCTAAGGTTCTCTTAAGAATCCTTTTATGTCAGCTGCTTTTTTCCCCATACTTTTCCTTCTATTTTTATCTGTGCTTTTTACTTCAAGACTGTCACATTTCGGTTCTTTATATCTCTGCTTTATTTTGCCATTTCAGAAGAGACACCAAGCTAATGCTTCCTCTAATCTCATATCTGCCAATAACGCTCAGGTCAGTACGAAGCCTCGAAGTCAGGAGGAATAGCTCTGTGGCAATGTTTCAACAACGACAATGCTTTGACAAGCACATTTGTTGAGTTCGCTGCCTAAATATTTTTCTTTATCTAAAAAAGACAAGACAAACTTAAAAAAAAATCTGAAACTGACTCCAAACCTTATCTTTCCTTTAGTCTTGCTGGCCTAGGCACAGACGAGTGAATGGCACTATTTTTGGTGGCATCTGTGAACCGTGTCAATGCTTTGGCCACGCAGAGTCCTGTGACGATATTACCGGAGAATGCCTGGTAAGTGCTTTCTTCTCTGTGGATGCTGGCAGACAAGGCTGATGTCACCTCGACAGGTCCTACAATCCAATCCCATCACTGCCTTTCAGACCTTAAACCCTTGAGTCAAGAAATGATTTGACGGAGATCATTATACTGCACTGAGTTGCAAGTTGAGAGTGGTCTTTCATTTGTACTCTCCCTAAATAACAGGTATTAGGAAGTGTTTACTCATCTTCATCTAAAAATTGAATTAGGGTCAGATACATCAAAATAAAATATAACTAATGACTGAAATACAGATCTACCATAAATGTAGATGGTTTTATCCCTACCATAAATCTACCAAAACCAGACTGTACTTCTCTAGCAGGAAATGATTTATATCCCCATAACATGAAAAGTGAAATATGACCTATGTACTAGGCATAATTTTTGACGTTGAAAATGAGAGCATATAGCATGTTCTTTTAGTTTAAAAGTTCAGCATTTAATTAAATACATATGTAGATAAAAAATAATAAATATATGCAATGCATATTCATCAGAGCTGTTTACTTGTACAATTAAATCGAACTCTTAACAAGCAAAACAGCTCTCCAAAGCACTTTCTATCCTGCTAAGAAGGCTTTGGGCTAGAGAATTATGCTGAATAGGCCATTCTGATCAACTCAAGGGCATGTTAGTCTTATATTGTCTGACATGGCATGAAGCTTGAAACGGCACTTCTCATTTCATTAGTCTCGCAGAAACACAATGTGAAGTGGTGCCAGTTTAGGAGGATATCATACTCTCATCTCCCTGTAGAATCTAAGACAGACTCTGTTCTCTGTATTTCTTAATGTTCTTTCTGTCACTTGCTCATTCCCCCACCGCCTTTTTTCCTTCCACTTAAAAGCTTCTGGGAAAAATCCAGAATGAAAATTCAGGGCTTTTGTTTCCATGTAATGTGGCATTTAGGATTATTGATGCTCTTTCTATTTTCCCTATATAAGATTTTGTTAATTGCATTGAGGTATAAAGCATGATAGTCTGAATTTGCAGAGCAGTAGATTTTTGAAATGGCATTTTCATGAATAGAAAGACTAAGTGATTTTGATTTTAATTATACCGTAAGACTTTTAAAATGTACCTTGGGAAAAATATTGAGTTACCCTTAAATACTTCACTGACATGCAGTAGGAAATATTCAGCCTAAAACTGATATGGATTTGCTTTACTTAAACCTAAAAAGACAAAAATAAATATATCATGGTACTAGACTTGTAATGTTCCCAATAGTAATATTTCATGTTGAATTCATTAGTATTAAATCAGATCATGCTGTTGGCCCATTTGGTTTTGTGATATTTCCAAGAATGAAAGTCATTTTTATTTTTTGTTTTGCTTTTTTTTTAGAATAAAGTAGTTTAATTCAGCATAATTTTAGGAGTGAAAGGGAGGGAGCAGTAATTATTTGAGGCTTTCTACTAAGAACATATAGTTTATTGACTATTTCTTGGACAGGGAGATAGAAGCCCACCTTCAAATAACAGAGGAACCTTCAAGAAACAGGGGAGATCTTGATGACAAGCAGAATCTGGTGTTTTCTGGGGTTTCCATTGTAGGTGGTAAACAGATGATCGTTTAAGATGTTTTCTGGAGACTTCCCACTGCGCTCCATGTAAGATGGTGTTGCTCTGTCAGCACTGACATCTCACTTTGAGCACATTGATTCTGATAGGATCCACAAAGAAAAAAATATCTGAATGATGCCCATCGAGGGCATTCTTACTATTCCGTGGATCCATTCTTTAGCTTGTGTTTTTCCCCTACCATTAAAGAGATACATTATGAAATTTATAGATAAACTGCTTTTTAGTTACCTTGACTTTGAAATCTGATTAGAAGTTAACTAAAGTATATCTTGATATCAGGTCAAAACCCAGAACTCTGCTATAGTGTGTGTGGGCCTATATGAAAAAAGTCATTTTAACTCAGAGTACATTTGAAGTGACCCAGGAAACATTCAAAGCCACATGAGAAAATTGCATACTCTCACTTTCTCATTGTTCCTGTGATATATGATATGAACAGACATTTGAAAAGCACTTTTGTAGTAGGGCACGTGTAAAAGTAACCAGAGTGAAATAATCAGAGTGAACCTTTCATCTTGTACAGTTTTGGTTTCCATTATGTTGTTGTCTAAGGCTGCTTTGCAGTTACAATGGAAAAAAAATTTGAGTTTAAAATTAGTTTGATTATTTCCATGAAATGAAATATGACATTAGGAAGTTTAAGAAGCTGCTACATGCTAATTTTCCTTTAAATTCAGTAGTTAAACAAAAATGTCTCTAGGTCCCACAAGGTTTACAGTTATGTTCTAGAAATACCATTTTCAGTAAGTTTCAGACAGTGTTATGATTTTATTTTTTAAGATGTCCTTGAAGATACAGTTTTGATTATATCATTCTGACAATAGGTAATATTGCAAAAAGAATATATATATTTTTAGTAATAGGCAACTTGAGCTAAACTTGAAAACTGAAAGGAACTAGTTCAAAGATGAAATCAAAGAAGCCTTTTTTTCAAATTGAGCCAAGTTTTGCACATTCTATCCAATATACTATTATTTATGCAACAGTTGATAGTGACATTAACCCTATGCTGTCTTTGAAAAATGGTTACTGAATAAATTTAAAATACCTTAAAGACATATTAATTTAAAGAGGCATTTTAATACTAGTCAGTGCATCTCTTGCACATCAGTGTTTCTCTCCTCTTTCTCCCTCCCTTCCCATCTCTCTAAAAATAAATGAATAAAAACTTTTTTAAAATTTTTGAAAAATGAATTTAAGTTTTAACTATTTCCTATTTGTTCATTGATCATAAAAATAAAGGTTTATACCCTTAAGCTCTGACAAAGTCTTTTCAACATGATAAGAAACATAATTTTATATGTTTGTAAAATCAAAAATGCATTTCAGGTCATAACAAATCCATACTATATGATATTTAGTAGGTATCAGCTATGTTTTACTGTACCATTGGAGGCTGAAGAAGTAAGTTATGTCCACAGGTTGTCAAAACATGATACAAATTTATCAAATTGTGCCGTTGGAAACTTTGTAGATAATTCCGTTGTTAGATTAACTGGATTGTTCACCTTTAAACCAGCCTTGATGAGCTTTGCGAACAGAGCCTGAACTGATGAATGCACTTTAATTAACATGAATAAATCAAGATGGAAATTATTTTTATTTTTTTAATTTTTTGAAAATGACATGGGTTCAATAAATACTAACTGACAGAAAAATGCAGTTTCAGTTTTTAAAAATTCGTCTAAGGGAAATTGTTATGTGCCTTGTGGTTTCAATATGTATTAGAATATATTTAAAATTGTTTCATTATTTTTATTATTTAAATGTGAGTCAAACAAGCCCCTCACAGATGTAATACATTAATGCATTTTGCAAATCATCAGAGTCCCCTGAGGTCCAAATTAATCTCTGAAGTAGGAGGGCTATAGTCCCAGATGATTTGTATAATTAGCACAGTTCTTATTAAATCAGCAGTTTTAAGCTGAACAATTGAATTTTTACCTAGAATCATCTGCAGTTTCCATTGAACATTTTTACTAAGGCTGTATAGTTGTACATGCATACACATGCATGAATAATCATATGTATTTCCTCAAGAAAAGAATTACAATCTAAAGAAAGAGGGAAATAAGAACTGTATTATAAAAAAATTTATAGTAAGTTTTAGTCATCTTTGTGTAAGTATGCATGTACTGAAACTAGCATGTAGTTTCTAAGCTAGATATTAAATTAACTTTCAGTGCTATTTCCCAGCTGTAAAATTGACCATTTAATGTGGAAAATTATTCATCCTGGCAGGGAATGGACTAATGACTCTGTGGACCTATTTTTGGTAACATGCTATTGCTTGAGACCAAAATAATAAACTTTGATGTGCATCTCTCTCTCAGAACTGTAAGGATCACACAGGTGGCCCATACTGCAACAAATGTCTTCCTGGTTTCTATGGCGATCCTACTAAAGGGACCTCTGAAGACTGTCAGCCCTGTGCCTGTCCACTCAGTACCCCATCCAATAAGTGAGTAACAAACTGACCCCTCTAATGAGCTGGCCATCCAATTCTGTAAGTGTACTTTTATATGGGATGTACCCTTTCTCTTGTTACTCATAAATAAATTATAAATACATGCACAAAATTCTCAGGAAAGTAATGTAAGTTTTTAAAAGATAAAATATTTAAAGTTATTGCTATTTACTCAACAAAATTTTTAATACTTTAGCTCTAGTTTAGGTAATTTAGTACCTAAGGACAGAAATCAAATAGAATTTTTAAACCAATTCCAAAGAACAGATGTATTTTCTACAGACATATACACGTGTCCACCTGCACAGACCCACACCCACACACATAGGCACATAGAAACACACATATCTTTACACTGTAATAAAAAGACCACTAGTAAGTCCACTGCTCTTTTGGGTCCTAGCCTCACACTATTGATTTCTGAGTCTTGGACAAGTCACAAACCTCTCAAAAAGGTAAGAGAGATCAATCTAGTAGACTTTAAATCACCAGGCCTATTCCTTAGTTATCATATTATCATATTATCTTAAATATCAATTTAAATATATATAAGCTTATCTTAAAACATTGATAAGGGTTATATTGTGAATTATATGAATATTGAAATAGGTATGATGATTAGCATCTAATCTTTCATTTTTCTTTTCTCCCCCTCTCTCTGTCACTCTCTCTCTCTTTTTTTTTTTTTTTCTGTTGTTCATCCAAACAGTAACCTCTTATACCATCTGCCTCTCTCCCTTACCTTTTCAGGGAATACTTACTCCAGCTCCCACTGCTCTACTTCACATTCCCTCAGGAGAGCCATCTTTACAAATATCTATGCAGGAACTTAAAACCAAAATAATTTGTTTATGGGGCATTCTATGTTGAACCAAAATGAACATTTTTTTACTTAAAAATTGTAAATAACTATAATATTATATGTAAGGAACTTTTTGAGAAGCTTCTTAAAGGTAAGCTTAGTGCCCAATAAACTTTGTTTTATGGGATGCACTTCCCAACTATTTCTAAATGCTGTCATAATGCTTGCATAGGAAAAATTTATAATGGTGTTTTAAAGAAATCTGTCCACTACAGGTTTTTTTTTTAAATATGAAAGTGTTATCAGGTTGGTCATATTCTGAGGTCTTTCCAGAGATACTACTAATGAAAACAGTCTTTTGTTACCAACCAGAGTCAGTGAATACTACAAGCTAAAGACTTAAGAATAATTCTGTCGTTAAGTTTAAGGTCCTCATTAGAATTATGCTTCTTACTCTTCAGCCCACATAGAACCCTGATCCTCCTCCCAACAGTGCACCTGTGTAAGAATTTTCCACCTTTTGGAAAAGGAGAAAGAAGTAATATTTAATGAAAACACATGATTATATGCCAGGCTTAAGGTCAAGGACTATATTTAGTATTAATTTACCCTCAAAAACAACCCAATAAAATAAGTATTATAACCTGCATGTTATAGATTTTTTTAAAAGACTCTTAGAGAGAAAATAGCACTATAGTACCAATTCTGGAACTAGAATTTCTGGATTTAAAAACTGAGTTCCATACTTTCTAGCTGTGTGACTATGGAAAATGTACTTAAACTCTCTGTGTCTCAGTTTTGTCATTATAATAGGTCCTGTAATAATAGGATCCTCTCATAGGCCCCTTGTGAGAATTACATTAGAAAAGACACAAAGCACCTAAAACAGTGATTGGACATGGTGAGCCCCAAATAGGAACTATTATCAAGTAATTTGCTCAAAGTCATAAAATGCTAAAATATCAGAGTTGGAATTTTAAGTCCATGTGCTTTCCAGTTGTCTACAGTCTGTATTGTGGAGTTCTTTAACACACTGTATTTTAAGAGATAACATTAAAAACACTTAAATGGGAAATTGAGTTAATCTGTATTAGTGACCAAATCATTTCCAGAGTTTAGGGCATGAGCCTGGGCGGATACAATACTGAAGATGCTTTGGCAATCAAGGTTGTCAGAGAAGGGAAAGAAGGCAAAAGGGAAATCTACTGGGAAATAATGAATATAGGAGGACAAATTAAACTCCGCAATTGATGATTATTCAGGCCTATGTTGGCTGTAATATGGCACAAACCTTGCTCTCGGGTATATTTTTGAACGACTAGACTACGTAGTAGTGGACCTACTTATTCACTATGGCTGAATGAATTCTCTGGAACCGTCTAATATACATGAAACCCATTGTTCAGCACTACCTTTCCCTGAAGAAAGCAGTGGGATTGCATTTGTCCCCTCACTTGCTTTGCACTTCTCATCCACAAGTCATAGGGACTCACAGAGGAATCAGTCCAGCAGAGCTGCCCGTTCATAGTACCATATGAATCCTAGCCTAATACATTTTTAAATTATGTAATTAATTGAATATGTAGAGTTTGTGGATTACTCCTCAAGTCTGACCACCGTGACTATAAATGCAGAGGCATTGTTAGGGAGACAACTTTGTGTAATTGTAGGCATTCAATTGTAGAGCATTCTTCTCTGTTTACTCTGCTTCTACCTTAACAATGGGTTCTAAATGTTTTTCAAAGGAAAAAGAAAGCCAGCAAGCACTAAGACACTGTCTATCAGTGTCACAGGGATGTAGGTCCCAGGGCCCAATGATTGTATTTCCACAAGTGCATGTATTCCAATTTTGTATAATTAAGCAGATTTTGATTTAAAAAAAAAACAAAGACAATTCAATAATATCAATAATAGTTACACCAAGTATTTAAAGGTCTGTTAATTTTCAAACTGGGTTACATGCACATTAGATAATTATTAAATTATTAACTAATAATTTTATCCTTACAAGTAGAACTGGGAATAGAACAGTAACCTATTTTATTTTATTTTTTCTTAAATATATTTTATTGATTATGCTATTACAGTTGTCCCATTTCTCCCCTTCATTCCCCTCCACCCTGCACACCCTCTCCCACCCACTTTCTCCCACCCGCTTTAGTTCATGTCCATGTGTCATAAGTTCTTTAGCTTCTACATTTCCCATACTATTCTTGCCCTCCCCCTGTCTATTTTCTACCTACCACCTATGCTACTTATTCTCTGTGAACAGTAACCTATTTTAAATTCCATCTTTAAATGGGGCATTTTCATATAGAAAGAAGGGACTGTGATAATTCATTTATTTTAAAAGTTCTAAAAGTTTATATTCAGAGTTATTAAGTCCTATAAGTTTAGAACAACTTGGAAATTTATATAGTTTACAATTGTAATGAGAAAAATCCATTTTAATCGAATAACCTGAATTTTCATTGAAAATCACTGAATAATGGTGCACAGTGCCTTATGGGAATTCTCCTTTATAAAAAGCTTTTAAATAGTCATTACTGCTATAATCTGAGTTAGAAACTCAGAGGAATAAATTGAATATAATATATTGAATATGTTAAATATTAATACATTGATATGAATATATGATTGTTGTATCATATTAAGAAAAAAGAAATCAGCAAATTTCATTTATAAGTGTAAAGTTTAGTGATTATTTTACCTTAATAATTTATCTTATTAATCCCTGATCATTAATTTAGAGATCACAAGTGTTTTGGCTCTAAATTTCTAATCATGTTGCTAAATAAAACAAATATATAGGGAGATAGAGATAGATTCGTACACTTACTTTGAAGTATGACTATAGACAAGCATATACTAATTAGATTATACATATAGTATCAACTTTATCAACTGTTCACAGTGTCCACTATTTGCTTAGCCCTCTCATCTTGGTAAGTATGTATTCTAGCTATAGAGTGTAACAGGGTGGTGAAATTTATAACTAGAGAGGTAAATAAAATTGTAAATATTTCAAATGTTGTATATTCATTAATTTCTGATATCATATAACTTATAGATTAAATATTATATGAAAAAAGATATGATTATCTGCCCTTGAACACGCATGTGTTTGAATAGATAACATTATTAGAATCATAGATTTTTTTATCAGTTATGTAATAAAATTAGAGATATTCTTGGCACAAGGCTGGACAGAGGGCAGGTACTCAGTGAGTTCTCTCTATTAATATTGTTATGAATATTTCTCTGTGTGCCTCAGGAATGCTAACATTTAAATTTCTGAAAGAATGGAAGGAACACTTCTAGAGCTGACTCATGGACTCACTCAAGGGGCCACATTGAATTATTGTTGTTAAAATGAGTAGTTCTTACAGGAAATCTTATTCTCTAACATTATTCTAAGGCACAATGTAAATTTACAGAAACATTCAACATTTCTTAGAAATTTTAGAGTGTATTAGATAATTTAGAGCACTTTCCTACATAGTGTTTTATGTCCATATGGGTGATTATGGTATATTATACTAGTCCCTTAAACCAGAAGAGAAAACTAAACTCCATAGAAATTAAATGACTTGATTGCGATCATAGAGCTTGCTTGTGGCAGAACCAATATTAGAACCCATATATATTCACCTCTCTGTGTTTCCTCCAGTGGGGCTATAGAAATAGAAACAATTCCAGAGACATTGAGGAGAAGCAAAAAAAAAAAAAAAATTAATAGAACTTAGTGTTAGACAAACTATAAATGTCCACCACAGAAATGACTCAGACTTGGCAGCTGTTACACTAACTCAACACTAAGGACTAGAGCAGGATGAGAAATTTTAAGTTTAATTATTTAACAAGTGAATAAACACCCTAAAATTTAAAAAACAATCTATGTAATTCAGCAAAACATTCGAAAGTATTAAATCACAGCTATGATTTATTGTGCCACTATGCAAAGAATTTGCCGACATATATTTTTAGTATGAAAAGCTTTATCAGGTAGGTCATATTATCTCATTTTGAAGAATGAGAAGTTCAGACTTAGAGAAATATAGTATCCAAAGGCACGGAAAATAGCCCAATTCTAATTACAAAACCCAACTATGGACATTAATTCAGATTCCATAGTATTCGAAGATAATTAGAGACATATATGTTTGCTTAATGATTCTCCTAAGAATGTATAAAACAGAGATCTCCAAACTGAGAGAAGAAAACACATATGGAGAAACTTTAAAAATTCATGTGGCCCAAACCAAAGTCATGAAGTAAATGAGTCTTCCCTTCATCTGTCTCTGCTTCCTCTCAGTCCTCTGCTGTGTCTCACCTGTTTGCAGTGTCTCGTCCCTTTTGGCTTCTCTTTCCCTACCCACGTGTTCCAGGTCACAATGAGTTAAAAGTTCTCCTTCCCCATGGTGCCTGCAAACACAGGACATGCCCTGATTTTCTAACCCTGGTGATGGAAATGGTATGCCAGTGATGAAAAGAGTGTTAATTTCCCATCACATCTTAGTCCCAAGAGACAATTTTCCTTCTTGCTATAGCTGTGAGGAAAGCCATATGCTGATTGTCACCATCAAATGAACATACGTGAAAAATGCATTTTGCATTTTAAACATACCCTTGATTTTATCTTATTTTTTAGTACTTTTTTGTCTTTACTTTATTGATTCACTTTATCTTAATGTACATATATTGATAGGTAGAATTAAATTATTTTTGGAGCAAAGCTAGTTGCATCTATATGTATGTATTTCTCTGTATAAGTACAAACACATATGTTCACATACATACTATTCATACATAGTATATGCACAAAAATCAGGTCAAGTTGTTGATTTGCCAGTACAAATTCTATAGACATTTTTTTGTTTTCCATGAATTTTTCTTCCTTTCATTTTACTTTTGGTTTTGAATGCCATCTTCTTCATAACTATAATTTCAACTATAGCCATAAGGGAGTGAACCCTCAGTCTACATTGATTAAAGAACATTGAAGCACAAATACAGTTATATTTTATGAGGAACTTTTATTTAAATGCATCCTGTCAAGTATTTATATGACCAAAAGTTTAATCACACTTAATTCTTACGAGTAGGTTGAAGGCTGGTTGGATAAGAGAGAAGAGAGCATCAGATTAGAATTCAGAAGCCCTGGGTCCCTGGAGCCCATGCTAAATAAATTCTCCTGGCTATGACCTTGGGCAAGAAAAATTATGCCTGCCCCAACCAACTCATACAATTTTGGAAAAGTGTAATAAAATATTTGCAAAATCACTCTGGATATGTAAAAAGCTAGTCAAATAGAATATATTGTCATTTCTTAAAAAAAGTTTGACTTTTGTCAATGACAGCATTTTAATTTACTTCTATTGGTTTCAAGCAATGCATGGGTATGTTTAAAGTTTGAAATCTATTTTATAAATAGTTTTAAAGTGTCAGAAGCCTTGTCATGTACCTTTCATATGACTTATGATAAACTGATTTAGGATTTTAAAAAATAATTTGTGTGGTTTTCTTTCAGTCACTATAGTCCCACATTAGTGAGAAACCTAGAGTTTCTAGTTAGAGGCATTCTTCATATATGATGAAATATTTATAGAATTCCAGTCTTAAAAGAAGACATAACACAGATTCTAGAAATTTGTCAAAATCTAGTCTCTCCCTTTATGTCTGAAAACAATAGCAAATCACAGGGCGAGGGAGGGGAAATCCTGTTTGTTTTCATTTTGACGCGTGCCTCTTCGGTGCATACGCACACCTGGCAAGACTATCAGCCACGGTGAGCTCCCTGGGGTTGCAGGGGGCAAACCACAGGCTGCCCTCTAAGTGGTGGTTCTCCTCACAGAGCACAGACTGGGTGTGTCTTGGTTCTGCTATGTATGGAAGCCACCAGAACCCTTTAATGTGAAATATTTTATCTGGGTAGTATTTGTAAACTTAAGATTTTACAGCAGACCAAGAGCCCTTCCCCCTGCCCCTTACTGTAACAGATTAATTTAGACTTACCACTGAGCTGAAATGTTTAAAATAATAGAACTACTTGGTTCTGATAGTTTGCTACTATAAAAAAATTAGGATTATTAAATCTTTGCAGGATGACTATGAGTTAAGCCAGAAAAATACTATTCAAAATAGTGCCAGTGATTTGATCTGCACAAGTTAAGAAAGTATCCCAAAGTCATGCCAGTGTCAGGAGCGGAACGAGATCAGGACTTGGCACCAGTTAATTTGTTGTTCTCTCTTTAATTCATTTAGCCATCAAGGAAGCGTCTCCTGAATTGTCCTGTCATAAATAATAGAAAATAAATCTATTTAGAGATGACATAATGGGAGAAAGATTAATAGGGGGCAATTCCTTTTAAAATGATAGAGCAGCAGAACTCACAGGGTGCAAAATAGTATATGGTCCTTCAGAGAGCCATCATGTCAATCAATCTTGAGGTAAGGCGTCACGTATGAGAGGTGTGTGTCACAAGGCAAAGAAGTACGGCCAGAGTTGAATATGTCATTGAAGGGTAAAGCTAACATGTAGTTACTTGGCTGCTTTCAGGATCGGTGGTCAACTCTGTTACTTCAGACCCTCATGGGAAATAGGTGTAAAAAGAGAGGTAAACTTTGGAACGTACCAGAAGTTGAGAAATGGACAGATTGTTTTGGTTTCTTTGATTTCTAAATTATAAATTTAGGCAGAATACATGTTTTTGATCTCTAGTGAAAGCTTTTCGAAGGCTTCCTTCTGTGTTCACAGCGTGCCCGTGAGTACATAAGTGCAGCAGCCTGCAGGTGTGCACACATGTACACACACTCACACACCTGTGGTAGCAACACTGGAAGTAGGGACCCCATCGCCACCAGCACCACTATCACCACGATCACTACTACCACCACTTTCACTGCCATATACTGAGTTCTCCAAAATCTCTAACAGATTTTTCTGGGAGGCTTCAATTTCAGAAGGACTTGGCTGGAAAGAAAGAATGCAAGGCTGTATTTTGCAAGGCCTGGGGAATTCCTAGAGAGGAGCAGTACAGTCCACTTGTTACTGATGACTGTAGACCCAGAACAGTCAAAAGTCAGTTAATAACATATCACTGGAATATTGCTCTCCACTGGGCTATATTCACATCTGCAGAAATAGCAGTGTCATTTCATCCTCAATTGGCCAGACCCTAATCTCTGTCTGTGAGACGAGAATGACCAGCCTGTCCCCTTTTGTCACAGCAGTCCTGGAGAAAGAGAAATGAAAATGTGCTGCTAATGACTTTGTGTATGTGCTTCTTCCTTGTCCCTGTTGCTCCCCGCCAACATCAACATAGCTTTAGCCCGACGTGCCATTTAGACCGAAGTCTTGGATTGATCTGTGATGAATGCCCTGTCGGGTACACAGGACCACGCTGCGAGAGGTAAGCACGGGCTCCACTGTCTTTCAAAATGATTTCTGCCTTGGGAGCTGTAAAACCACAGGCATCATCATCCTTTGCACTGCCCCAGAAAAGCCACCACACTCGGAGAGATGAAAGAAAGTTTCTCAACACGCTTGTCATACAAATGCATTATATTTTTATAGTTTATTTATTCTCTAGAAATTGCTCCATAAATTTTGACTCACTTGAGAATGTTTGATTCATGTTTTAATCTTAAAGGTTAAGCATTAGCCTACGACCTTTCTAGAAAGTATTGCTCGAGTGGAAAGACATGCACTTTAAGATTTATCTGACTGTCTACATTGGCACCGTTTATTTTTCATAATTAGCTTTTTATCCTTAAAATGTGCCTTAAATGTGTAGTTCATAGTTCAGCAAGTGGTTCATAATTTACCTTAACTATAATTTGAAAATAGAAATAAAATGTAATTTATTAGCCTTATTTATATCCTCTTCTGAGTACTTCTAAGCCAGTATTTTAATTCTGGTTGATTTTTAGTAGACTGGCCATGGAATTGTAGATATTATTATATATAATTCCTGTGACCATTTTTCCTCCTAAAATCTCTTTGAAGGAAAGTCTCAAATGGATTTCAGTTTCAGTATGAAAATGGTACAAAATGTTTCCCTTGATATCATTGGCAAACACAACACCTCTAATTTTGGCACTTAAAACAGTCCCCTTTGCTGCCATCACTGGGGAGCAGGCTGGGGAACAGAGGGTGTGACCTGATCTTACCCACCCTCACCAGGCGAGCACCACAGAGGGCTGTTTCTGCCAGTCCTTTCCTGTCCTCTTGGCAATCATCACCCCTATTTGACCAGTGTGCATAAATGAAGCTGGAACTGATCTCCCAGAGTGCATTTAGCCAGCAGCTAGCAGTCTGTGGACAAAGTGCCAGTGACAGTTACTAGCAGCAACAAGTACTATTTGTGAGTATGGAAGCAACTGCAAATTAGTAGTGGGAGAACAGAAATGAAGTAGGAAGGATTTATCCACAATCAAGAAACTGGAGGTCTTTAATTGTTTTTTTTTAAAGAGGACATGTGTATATTACTTACAATAATTGCAGAACAAATCATTGCCAGGACAGATTACATCAAATGCCTAATGTCCACCACCCCCACATGCCCTCCAGCTGACGACAGGCAGCTTTTTTTTTTGGAGCAACTAGAAAATGACAGCTGTTCTGTCATGTAAAGCCACTAAATCCACTTACATAGTTGAGTATAGTCTCTGATGTCTTTATGTTGATTTGCTTCATCCTCTGCATTTTCTGTGCATGGTAGACAATAGTTTCTGAACCATCTACAGTTTAAAGTCTTATATTCATTTAGCAACTACTATGTGCTAGGCCCAGGAATAGACAGAGCATACGGACAGATGTGCACTATACAATCCTTGTCCTCACGCAGTTCACATCTTTAACAAGGGTGGGAATGGTTGAATGGGTTCTGGAGAGAATCCTAATCTGAATAATCAAAATCATTAAGGAGAGAAATAGCTGACAAAGGGCATGATTTCCTGTCTAAACCCTAAACAGGTCTTTGCTAACCTGGTTAAAGAAAGATGGAAACATTCCCATGCAGCTTATCAAATGGCACATCTAATTTCCAAGTTTCGCAGTCAAAAATAGTCTTAAATGGTTAATGTATACAGGATGGGGTTGTATATTTTTCCAGTAAGAATTTGGACTGGGATTTTCCAAGGACACTTAGGGTTTATCATTTCTCTGTATTTATATAACTGAAAAAGTCCCTTAGTTGGGTCCAAAAACGTTCAGGAGAAACATTTTCTGAAATGTGTAGGCTTCAGTAGAAGGGAGGGGGTATAAGAGTTAAGGTGAGGAGGAAATACTAAAATCTCATCATCAGCACTATTCTGTAAGTGATTGCTGTAATCATGTTATGCACATCATCTACATAAAATCAGCATTGGGAGATGAAAGCAGTGTTTCCCAAGTGGTAGATGTCCTTGGAAGAGAGTGCTGGGGTCACATAAGCTTGGGAAGTATGTATTAACATGTTAAAAGTCTGACACCTCCTGGAGTGAGGAAGTCCATTCAATTTGTTGAACTCAATGTTTTCAAGTTTTATGTCACCATGCACTTCCTGCTTTTAAGAGACTGCAAGAATACATCTCAGAGTACAGCTCAGGTGAGCAGGAGTTATAACTTTACATTCTTTATCTCAATTTAATTTCTATTCTGATACTTAGTTAGCCACAGGTAGAAGCTGTGAGAACGTTGGAACATAACCTGTCAAGTAATCTTTAAAGTTACACGATGTTATATGTCAGTTATATCTCAGTCTTTTTAAAAACTAAGTTTTTCCCTTCTCTCCACTTCCCAGGCTTGAACCCAAGTTCTAACAAGCATACTTAGTACCAGAAGTCTTGAATGCTTGAGTGTGTGTGTGCATGTGCACTCACATATGCACACATATGTGGCTGAGTGTGTATTTTGGGTAATGAACATGTAGTGGGGCCAACCTGCCCTGAGTAATTAATCCAGGTGTGTTTCTGCTGACCTCTCCCTTTACCACGTCCTCTTGATTACTTTCCCTTCAGGTCTAGCAACTCCATCCACTCTTTTCATACCACTCGGGGGGCACAGGGCTCATTCTGCTGCTTTCATTCCACACTGGGACTCTCCAATAGTCGGTTCTCCTCACTGCTCTTCTTTTGCCTTTCCACCTCCACCCCATTTTCTCTTTGGGGTTGAATTGCAGAAAGAGGTGCCAAATTCATAAAAATAGTGACTTGGGAGGCTGAAGTCCCAGATATTTCCATGCTTCTTCTTTCTTGCCCGTCCAATCCCTTCACTCTGTCACATAGTACAAGATGGCCTTGCTGCTTGAATTGAGAGAATGAAGAAAAATCATGATAAAGAAGAAAGAGTAAAACAAGTTATGACAAAATATTGAGTGCTATTCTGTTACCTGTAGAGTTCTAGTTAGAGTTTTGGGAAACTCCTGCTTGCAGCTAAAGTGCCCACATTTGGAGATATCACTGCTTTCCTCTGGGAAATGTTTTAAACCAAATAAATAAGAAGATAGTGGGTGAACAGGTATTTATCATGGCACTTTGCTAGGATTGTAGTCTTTTATCCTCCGGAAAACAGGAGAAAAATAGAAAAACAAGGAGACAGTATCTAGATAGGCGAAAAGGGATAAGCGTTGGAGCATTGAGAGAAATTAAAAGGAACAAGGAGAAAAAAGTGAACTAAGTGTTAATGATACCTGCTCCACTAGGGTTGGAGCTACTTTCAGAAGAACTTTGTAGCCTCAGCCACAGATCACACACCATGGAGAAAGACACTAAAAAGACTATGGCAAGTTCACCCAGTGGGATCCACAGATCCACACAAGAATTAATGGGGTGTGTGGACTCTTTAAACCCTGTCCCTCCCTAGCTGGCCAACGTTTAACAACTCCTTAAGTGAGGAGAGAGGTGATAGTCAGGATTAATTGCACAATTGCTACTGAGAATGCAGAAGGTATTTGAATCTAATTGCTTAATATTTGGAAAAATCACTGACAATTTTGTCCACATGATTCATATTCATTGTCAAAGAATTCTTTTTTGTTTTTTAAATTTTAATTCTGAAACTCCAACAAGATGTTCTCTACTTCAGAAATGCCCAAATTTGAATCTAGTCTAATTGTCATCTGATCACTGTGCTGGTGAGGTTCTACTCGTGTTTCAGTCTCCTTGAGCCCTTGAACCTGGGTACAGAGCATGGGGATTCGGGGTGGGGAGGGAACAGAGACACCTATACTAACCTGATTGTACTATTAGCAAAACTGTGACTCCATGGGAGGTTTCAAAGGGCTACTCATGTGCTTTCACAGTTTCCATACTATACAAAAGGACTCAGTCAAGGGCGAGATTAGGGGGTCAGATCTAGTGAGCCCTCTTTTTGCCAAAACACCTGCTGTATTGTGTCTCAGTGCCCAGCTGTGTCTGCTATCTCTTCATTTTTTTGGCATATGCCCAGAGGGGTCCTTTTTCTTTTCTAATTTGCAGAAAGACACCATACATGCAGTCTTTAGCTGATTCAGCCAAATGGAAGATAGTAAGAATACAGAATTATTGCACAGCCATTTACATTTATACTCCAGCCATCCCTACTCTGTCTTTGACAATTCTGTTCCCTCTGCCTGGAACACTGCATCCTTTCCACTCCTCTGTCTGCTCAACTCTTCAAATTCAGTTCTATCATCCTGAAAGTGCCCTTAATTAATGCCAGTCTGAGTTGGTTGCCCCTTTCTGTGCTTCCATAACAGTTTTTGTTTATCTCTAGCAGTTCAGTGCCACTTTTTTGAGCATGTCTTTTTTCTTCATAGATCATAGTATAAAGACTGCGCCTTATTTATATTAGTAACATATAAAAGTGCTCAGTAGATGTTTGAGGAAGGGTGGGAGGGGAATAAGCAAGAGCTTTACTAATGTGCTTAGGGAGACTGAAGCACCGTTTTCAGTCCATAGCTAATAGAAACACAGGGCACAGATTTCAAGCAAATGCTGTCAAAGAAACAACGGAGTACAGCGCGCTAAAAGCCTCACCAGTGTTGCTTTCTTCTCATTGTTCTCTCGCTCCACTTCTGTCATTCTTTCTATGTCTACCTTTATCTCCATCATCTCTCTCTCTACCTTCTATCTCCGTCTCTCTTCCTCTGTATTGTTCCTAAGTCATCAAGAGAAACAACCATAACTGCAGGTGTTATCTGGAGTGTCATCTACATTTAAAAGGTCTTTTTCTAAAATACTGTAATTGGATTAAAAAGTTAACAAATGTAGAAAAGAACAGTGACCTAGTCATGTCAAGGTGTTCCTCTCTAGCAAGAAATCCAATAAACTCTTTTTACTAATAAAAAAGTCCTCATTCTACTTTGCACATGAAAATGAGAGGACTTGAGATTTTACATTAAAACTAATGTTGGTGGAGGGAACTTCTGAGAAGCTGAAAAGGTCCAAAGGACTGTGATTTACAGTAAATTTTACTAGCTGAGTCCAACGTGATCAAACTATACAACACTATTATTACTAATAAAAGTTATATGATTAGCACTATTGCATTCACTGACCCTGGAATCACTTCTGAATTTCTATTGAAACTTTTTTATAAATATGTAAGAATACTATTGTATGGGTAGAAATACATACACCTACATGCATCAGTAATAAAACCTAAATGCACACTTTCAATAAAGTGGCATATGAATTATCTATCATGTATATTCAGTAAGTTTTCTTATGTGTCCTACCACAAAAGAAAATGCAGATGCTTCTAGATGCTTCTTCAGTTATTCTATTTAATTATAGTTATTTTCTCATGGACTGAGGGTTTTTTTTTATTGTGGGAGAATTTTGGACTTACTAATTGGTATCTATGTTGATAAAAATCTGCGGGTCTTATTATATAATACCATCTCTGCTGAGGGCAGTCAGTCATTTTGAGGAAAGTGAGTTGAAAATAATGGGTTTTTGTTGGCTGTGATAATGATCATTGTATATCGTTATTCTAGTGGAGCAAAGTCACTTCCTAATGGTAAACAAAATGAGATGTGAATGTATGTGGATGTGATTACAAGCTCTGAATATCAAGTGAGGCAAGAAGAATTGGGTTAAAATTTAAAAGGATCTTTCTATTATCTCTGGCAAAGCTACTCCTGAAGTGATCTCAGGGGAATTTTAAGCACTCAAATGTTAGTTCATATCTTACAAAAGATAATTAATGAGAAGTTATATTTGTAGGTGGCAGTGTTTTTCCACCCACAAATATATTTATACAATATTTATACAATGACTTTGGCAATTCATAAAATATTTTGTGAATATAATTTAAAGAACTATCTCATTTAAAAATTATGATAAAAGTTTAAATCTGAGCCCTGGCTGGTGTAGCGCAGTGGGTTGAGCACGGGCTGCGAACCAAAGCATCGCAGGTTCGATTCCCAGTCCCAGTCAGGGCACATGCCTGGGTTGCAGGCCACGGACCCCAGCAACCGCACATTGATATTTCTCCCTCTCTTTCTTTCTCCCTCCCTTCCCTCTCTAAAAATAAATAAATAAAATCTTTTTTAAAAAAGTTTAAGTTTGCCAGACTATTATGGCATCTATAAATCTTCTGGAAAACTTAGAATAATTAATGTATCTTACCAAAGTAATGATTTAGTGCCATCATTGTGATGATATTAAAGTATTCTCATGTGATGTACTGGATTTAAACCATTTCTCCTTCCAGTGGTAGAGAGCATTTCTCTACACAATGACTCACACATCTGTGAGGACATGAGCATAAAGTAGTGTTCTGTAGAAATTATATTCTTCCACATGGTTTTTGCTCCACTTCAATTTTGAGCCTTGCTGAAAAAGACTATTTATTTTGCTAAGACAGCACAGATAACAGAGCTACCCTGACCATAACATTTCAGATACACTCTTTTGCTTCTCTTTTGCCAAGTGCGGCTTAATAGGAAGCATGAGCAAACAATTGAAATAGAGGACAGAGCAGAATATAAATAGGTGTTTACAATAAAGATGTATTTGTGCATCTATGACCCAAAGTAGCAATTGAAAATGTAACATGAAAAAAGGATGTTTTGATACTTTACTTTTAAAATTCCTGCCATGCTTCATAAAGAACTTTTGTTTTCCCAATAATACCTAAAATATTGTGTAGCCCTTTAAAAAAACTAGAGTTTGCTAATATGAGTTGTGGGCATTGTTCAGCATCACCCTTTGGCATGTCACTGTAATATCCAGACATATGTGCATCTTGGTAAAGACTCCTCAGTGAAAATCTGCCTCTGTGTGGATATGCAAATACATACAACCCTATTATTAAGGCAGAGATACCCATAGCTTCCACACAAATAATTGTGAGATCATTTGAGTTATAATTTTTTGTTGAATAAATTTTGAATTCTCACTACTGAATTTCTTTGTGAGCCTGTTTTCTCATAACAAGCTCTTGCTGCAACACAAACAGAAAAAGGAAATGTGAACCTTACACATTTGTACAGAAAAAAGCCAATTGGAGTATATACATGTGACGTGTTGTACTACAAAGGCTTTCCAACATGGACCCGGATTCCCAGGAGCAGATTTCTTATTACACTTTGGTCTCGTCTTCAGTGCCAGCAACAAGGTTGTTTTTTTTTTTTCTTGCTGAAATGTAATTACTAGTGGGGCTGGCAGGATTTCATCTTGTATCTACACTGCAGTTGTGGAAAAAACATTTTTTAATCACCTTGCATTGGAGAAAAGGAACACTTAAAAGGAAAACATATCCTGGGAGAGAGGTAGTGTGAAAACGATAGAAGCATTACCCCGATGGGTTTCATTAATTCTTCCCAAATACTCACTGATGAAATTTTTCACCTTAGGTGTGCAGAAGGCTATTTTGGACAACCTTCTGTACGTGGAGGATCATGTCAGCCATGCCAGTGCAATGACAACCTTGACTTCTCCATCCCTGGCAGCTGTGACAGCTTGTCTGGCGCCTGTCTGATATGTAAGCCAGGTACAACAGGCCGGTACTGTGAGCTCTGTGCTGATGGATATTTTGGAGACGCAGTTGATGCAAAGAACTGTCAACGTAAGTCCTGAACTAGTGATGCCCCTGACAGAATTGATGCATTGTGCATCAAAGTGGCTGATGAGTTCTTGAGTAGGATGGGAGAGTAGTAAATTATGTGTGATACATGTATGATAGATGCACAGCCTATACACAGAGTCTGCATAGCCTAAAATATTTTTTACTAACTGATAAAGTACAGCATTTGAAAGGTGATGCATTGTTGAAATACCATTGTTTTTCAACTGATACACATATTTCTGTTTGCATGTGGACCAAAGATTTTAAAATAAACTTATGTCCATAGCAAAAAAGGAAGAATTTGGAAAATGGGTAAGACCTAGTTACTTTTATTGTTTACCTCAAGTTTAATCATAAATTTATCTGCCCATATTATTTTATTAGTATCCATCAGTAGTTATCAATCTGTATTCCTTTCATATGTGAAACTCACATTTTTACATCTCATCATAGGTGTTAAAATTCTGCCAGTGTTTTTACACTCTGGTATTTGTAATAGTTAATTGATTAACCTTCACCTTAGGAGTATACACGGAATGTTATCTGTTATGCTTCCACAGAGTTAGCTATTGTAGGGCTTCATTCCTATTAGTCAGTACACCCCTTCCTCATGTTTCCCTCCTTAGCTCTATTATACAGGGTGTTAAAGAGTTTACAAAAGCTTTACGTAGTGCTAATGTACTATGCGAGGGGGGCCTTGCTGTGGAGAGTGGAATGGAATGTCAGCCTGCATTAGCCCTCAGGTGCTTTACGCTGCCGTCGTCAGCTTCATCTGCTGTCATAATCTTTAAGCAGAACAAGTATCAGCCCAGCAGTTTACTCCTGCCAGCTGCACTGGGTAAGAAAGGACTTGTCCAATCATTTCACGAGGTCCCAGGAACTGCAAAAATATAGGAACCACTGGAAATGTAGTCTCTGTCATTGTCTCTGCTGTTAGCGCCAAAGACCTGATAGGATGCCCATGTCAATGAGAAAGGCATCTTTCTCCTCATAGATTTGTTAGGTGAGTGCCAGCTTTTTGTCATTTGAAGATGACAGTTTGTCGAATCAAAAACAAATCACTCTGAAACAATGGACATTTATTAGTATCATCTGTAAATGGATGATTTTTTAAGGCAGATTTTCAGTAGGCTCAGTTTTAAACACTGCAGGTTTATGGCATCTGTGTAAAATCATAAGGAGCTTAAGAAATTGTCCCACTCAAACACTTCATCGAGGATCTGCACTTTCTAGTATGTGAGCCAGGGCAAGTCATTTGACCTCACTGAGACTCATTTTTTCATTTACATAAAGGGTCCTAGTTGTCTGTGGGGTCTAAGGCCTCTCCTGCAGACAGTAGCCAGTGAACTTCCTGGTGCCTGGGGTGCTCACATGGGGTAGCCCTTTCCATAGCAGTGTTTGTGGTGGTCGTGAGTACTCGCGGTTTGCTCATTTTAGGACTGTGTTAATCATTGATTGAACCTGTTTTTCTATTTCCCAATAAGTCCCTCCAAAAATCTAAGATTCTTTCACTTTTTTTTCTTTTTTCTTTTTGCTTTGTAAAAAACAACTCTTTAAAAAGACAACATGTAACTAATAAAGACTTTATTGGCAGAAACAAAACCGACAGTGGTCACTAAACCACGAGTGCCCAAGACTGGTCTGAAGGCAGAATGTCTAAAAGATCTGAACCTCAAATGCAGAGTAGTCTCTGTGGAATACTTCAAAAATGCCACTTGTTACCTTTTTGAAATTTCTTAAGATTCTCCCCTAGGGAAATTTGTTTTATGCCAAGAGTTATAAATCACCTTATACTCAGGATCTCTAATTATGATATTTTCACTGAAGCTTTCCTGAAATACTTTAGATAAATGCCACATAACCTAAATGTACCTCTACTATTTCATTAGGCCTTTACAACTGTCTGAGGACAGATGTCAGGTATTTATACCTTCTGGGCAGAAATGGAAATAAAATCCTAAAGTGGCTCACCTAAGGGTCAGAACATTAGTGAGTGTAAGCAGACCTTAAGTGTGAAACTATTTTCAGCACCAATTACACTGTCAGGAGTTAGCAAAGCAAGAAAAGCCCTTAATATTTCTGTGGGAATAAAGACAAAGATACAGGTTGGCAGGTGTTTGCAAGACATTAGTAACTGCAGATCCTTCCCTTAAACAAGATACTGCACATAATCACCAGTTGGCTGACATCTGAGCAATAGCTAAGATGGCCTCCTCTGCAGCTGCATCGTCCTTGGTTAAACAAAGTCTGGGTAAATTGGGGGTCTGTGGCATGAAGCTTTATGAACACATAGAAGCACATCGTATGAAAATATTTTTGAATCATCACCAATTTTTATACTGCTTGCTATTAGCAATAGACATAATTATGGTTTTTAATGCTCCTCAGTATATAATTAAGATTAAAAATATAAGAAACTCATTTATTATACATTTTGATAATTTTTATAGATATAATAGCTCTTTATGCATAGGGGGAAGCCCTCAAGAGAAGGAAAGTCACAATAAAGCATTACTTTAGATTCTCCTAGATTTGTCCATGAAAAGTACACTAGTGCAAAGAAATATGTCCTGCTTTTCAAACTTATGTATAGTATCTAAGTGCCATACATTTCTTTAAAAATGCCCCTTAAAATTTTATAGTGCTTTTGTTATTTTCAATTTGTCAATACTTATTAATTAAGAAAGACACTAATGTCACACATTTCATTTAAAAATACCACTTAAAAATCTGTATTGCTTTCATTATTTTTAGGATGACAATTTTTGGTAAATTTAATCTTATATTTCCCACTCTAAGGAAAAGTGGCTTCTAGATTCTAAGCTATTGAGATTTAAAAACATTTATGTATAACATACATTAGAAACTTTCATAAAAAAATTAAAATATGTACAGCAGTTCTTGTGTTCAGATAAAATCAACAGTTGAAGAAAACATTCTCTTCAGCCTTTCCTCACACCCCCAATACCGACTCTCCTTGGGCTGCTGCCTGTGGGAAGCGACAGGCTGCAGACCGACCGGGCCCTCCCCACTCAAGCACTTGCCCTCTCACTCACTGCTGTGAAGCTGGCAGACACTGGCAGCCAGACTATGGACAAGAAAGCCATCGGTTTTTAGGAAAGCAATAAAACTAAGTAGAATCTGGAACAAGATGGCCAGAATAACAGCATAAACTGATGGAGTAGCTATTTATACTGTATTTATAAGTTATGCTTAGATCAAAGTATTCAGAAACATGAAATGTTATAGAACATTTACCAAAACCATCTATAATGATCTAAATCCCCATATCACCTCCCCCTTACATTTTTTATCCTGGTATCAATGCAATTATATATACCATTGAAAATATACTCATAGAATACCAAGCAAGCCATTAATTACTATCACATTTATGAAAAGGCCACTTAATTTTTAGACTGATATATGTTTCAGAATAATATCAACCAACTTCATAACACAAAAATACAAATGATTACTTAAACCCAATGTATTTTTTTTTATCTTCAGAGATAGTATAGAAGTTGTAAAATAAAAATTATTTCAAAAAATTTTAATGTTAATTCCTAGTACATTTGAAATAATGTCTTTATCTTATATACTTTCTAATCTTAAAGGTATATGTGTGTGTATATACATATGTGCATATATATTAATTTCTTCTCAAGCTCATATTTTGAGCTTAACAGCTCAAAAGGTAAACAGAAACAAGCATTTCTCAGCTGTCTTCACACGGGCCTTTCTGTAGGAAGTATGGAAATCACGCACATAGTAAACAAATCACACACATAGTAAACAATTACTAAATTTAAAAAGTAATTAATACTGTTTTATTAATAATGGTATTAATATTATCCTGTTGGTGCTATTAATTTTGATAATATCTCAAAATTCTTTTAGCTGTAAAGCTAATATGCATTACTTAAAATGGGATTATAGTATTTTAAATGTTACAAGAATATATCTCTAAAGAAGTGAAACAGATAGAGGAGTGATTGAGAGAACTTTTACCTGGAGTCGCGGGACTGAGGTTCTGTAGCGGGACTCAGCTACATCACCTATCCATCCCGCAGCCTTGTACTATGCTAAATCTTCCCATGAATTACTAGTATGGTTTGTAGACTTGTAAGGATCAAATGGCATATTGCCTGACAGATCATCTCTCAAGTCAGAAAACATTCTATTCTAAAAGATCGTTGCCCGTGTTATCATCTTGGGGATATTTTTATGTAATGAGCATATGAAGGCTATTAAAATGTTTTTCCCAGTGACTGATCTCTCTTCTCTTTACAGCCTGTCACTGTAACCCCAATGGCTCCCTCTCTGAGATTTGCCACCCTAGGACAGGACAGTGTGAATGCAGAGCTAACGTGCTGGGCCAGCGGTGTGACAGATGTAAGGTAAAAAGTAGGAGCTGAGCAATGAATTACTGCTGCTTGGAACAGTCTCATCAGCTTTCGATGACATACACCTTAGTGTACTGAAAGAAAGGCTTGGGATCATCTAATTCTATGTGTGAAATTACTGTGATCATTGAAATGGCTTCTCAAAATGGAACAAAATTCGCTGTGCACTAGCATTTGCCCTTCAACCTATATTTCCTTGGCAGTGAATGTGTGCAATATTTACTGTACTTCAGATGTTTCTGAATCAAGGAAGATGTAAAATTTACTCTCTAGCCTACAGAGAGTAAAATATTCCTTCCTTTGCCTTTCCATTTTTGGTACGATAAAATGCACCATACCTTTTGCTTTCAGCAATCTGTTTGTTCTAGTTCCATCATTTAGATGTTAGTTCCAGTGGTTTTTAGATACATCCCTTTGCTAAAGTGAAACAGTAATAAAAAATCTCTTGTTTTCTATTCTTGAACAAATTGCCCTTCCTTTCAGCAGGGCAAGACCTTGAGATTCCTCTGGGAGAGCAGGTGGATTTGAACTACTTCTCACTTAACTATGTATTTGTGGTGCTCTCGACTGGTAAACAGAAACAAGCATTTCTCAGATGTCTTCACACGGGCCTTTCTGTAGGAAGTATGGAAATGTCGTCTGCTTCTATCTCTTAAATAATATTGTATGCTCTTTCTTTTGTTTGTTTTTATGTTTCTCTTGGCTTTTGAAGTCGAATATGTGGTGGGACCCAGAGAAACGATTCTGTGTGTTGTGTGACTGCAGTCCCGTTGGCTCTGTGTCACCACAGTGTGATGCCACAGGAAGATGTGTCTGTAAATCAGGCTTCGTAGGGAAACAGTGCAACCTGGGCAGGCAGGTGCACCGACAGGAGGAGCATCCACGGAGAGTGCAGCCGGTGCTGGGGTCTCCCCAGAGGTGGGGTTCCAGCAGCTCCAGCGGGTGTCCTCGGGGAGCCTACTGGCCCGCAGCTCGGGTAATCCCAGAAGCGCTGCATGGCTCTTGCCTGGCATGTTATGTCCTGTGTGCTGTGGCTGACAATCCCTGATGCCATTTTACTGAAAAATGGTTGCTAAGCGTGCCAGTTGCAAATGCCAAAACAAGACGGCTTTTGATTGAAGCCTTGCCTTTTAAAAATAGCTATCCATGCTTTTAAAAGTATATTCAAGTTCATAGGTTAATAAAGTTTCAATTAATTATGCATGTGTAGAAAACAAAGAAAAATTTATGTGTAGGAACCTATAGTCTCAGAAGTACAAAGGGCCTCGGGCATCATTGGAGCATACTCTGTTCTATGAATGAACAAAAAACGGGAAATCTAGCAAAGAAAGTGAACTTGCCCAAGAAAATTCAGCCCATTGACCTGACAATTTCAGCATAATGAGTGATTGGGTTACGTGTCCACACCCTAATTTTGATATAGTATACAACAAACACAAGAAATGCATTTTACACACTGTAAATGCACAATGTACATAAAGTAAGGAGCGTATTTTCTGCTACATAATTTGGCACCTTCTTATTACAAGACAAAACAAAACAGATGATGGCAGGAAGGGAGAGAGGAAGGTGGGAGGGAAGGCTAGCTCTGCAGCCAATCCACAGAGCAGTGGAGGCAAGACTTGCCAGTGTGGAATCAGGGCCTGCACGGGAGTTGAGTGTAGGGGACAGAAGAAAGTGAGAAGGAAGTACATAGTAAAGAAGCAAAGCATGTTTTTTTTTCTTGGCTCTATTGACATTTTTAAGAAAACAAGTTCCCATTTCAGACTCCCTCAGGTCAAATTGCAGCCTCACCACTTTCTAGCTATGAAACAGTTCCTTAAATCATCCTGTAATTCAGTGTCTTCATCTCTGGTAGGGCCTGCTTCATAGGGATTGCATCTCTTTGGGTTTTCCAGGAGTCAGACGCCAAGAGATTAATGTGTGTGAAGGGGGAAGGAGGAGGGAGTATAGTATACAGGGAGCCTGCCGCTGCAGTGCAGGTCTGACTATGTGAAGGGAGACAGGGAAGGAAAGAATGGGTAGAAAAGCCTCATTTGGTGCATTCTGCCCAAATCCCAATCCTTGGCCAGGCCAATGGGGAAAAGATTCTAGTACTTTACTGTAATCACTCATTGACTAGAAGATGCCAGCCCTGGTGTGAGCTCCAGAAGAATGGACGCTGGAAGGTGTCCGTCAGTGACTCACCTCATTGCAGGCTCTCTTGCAAGAAGGGTGGGTGGTTCAGACGCCTCCGTGACTGTCTCAGGGTAGTCCTGAGAGCAGTGCGTAAAGTCCAGGCAGACGTGGAGAGTTCCTTGTAAATCCTAGGTATCATGAATACTATCGTTACTAAATGAAGAAATCTTCACACAAGATTATGTTTTTGAATAAGAAATACATACACAAAGTAAAAGAAAGGCATAGTAACTGATCACAATGTTTCCAGTATGTAAATTTATCAGAAATTCAACTCCCATTCATGCTCTTTTCCTGCATACCTTACAGCACTGTTGTAGAAAGCAGTGTACTGTCCTCAGACCACATTTCCCCTGAGGCAGTAAGTGGGAGTTAAATGTACAGACTCAGAAGGCAGGCAGGCTGATTGGGAATCTTGACTCCACCACTGGCAAGCTGGTGACCTTAGGCAAATTACTGGATTTTTCTGTGCCTCAGTGTCACCACTCTGTAAAAAGGTGATTATATTCATCTCCCAATTGTCTTGAGTATTAAATGAATTACTGTTTATAAAGGGCTTTAGAACAGTGCTAGGCACATAGCACAATATGTAAGTTCTAGTTGTTATTACTATCCCAATAAGAATAATTTATGGGAGCTCGACAGACTTCCTGGTGAGACTGACTGGCGCTCTCTCCCATATTTGTTTCACCTCATTAATTTTGATGACTGACAAGGAATATTTGCTTTTTAAATTTGTTTACTTCAGAGGATTTTTCTAGTCTCTGAAATATAATTTTGAACATTAAATTTGTTAAAATTGTCTTACTGAAATTTAGTAGTATTTGTTTTTGTATAGCTTAGCCTTTAAAATTGCATCATTTAAACAGAAAAGTATGATGGAGACATGTCTTCTTGTACATTTCTCTATATATCAAGTTTGGAATTTTTTAGTAACTATGATTTGCAAGCTTACCTAATATTGCATTAATTTGCCCATTAAAATAGATATGTGTATCTATTTTATATGCATGTAGATAAATATGCTAAGTAAAGAAAAATTTAGGATATAGAGATGAATATAAAGTACTATCTCTATAATTCAGATTTCTAAGTCAAGAATATTTAGGGAACAAAAGCAAATGCAAAGTACTACTTCTGTGATTCAGATACTTTAAAAAATATTTTACTATATTATGTATATATGTTTCTATTTGTGTGTACCTGAGTGGTAGATGTGTCATTATAGGTATGTAATTAGAATCACAGTGTATATATAATTTTGTATTCTGCTTTCTGAGATTTTGCTCAATGCTATATACTAAGCATATTCATGTCATTAAATCTGCTTCAAAACAGAATTTAATGATTGCATATCATTTCCTAGTATGAACGTATCATAATTTAGTTCATTCAAATTGGCTCTAACATTGAACATTCCAGTGCTTCTATGGTTTCTCACTATGCTAAATAATATTGTAATGGGCATGCTTGTATTTTAACCATTTTCCCAATTCTGGGTATTTCTCTAGGCCAGATATCTAGAATTTTACATTAAATTATTTTTTGAAAAAAATTACATTTTTTAATATAATTGAATTTAATGTTAATGTCATGCATTAGGTCATTTGTTAGGACTGATGTACACTCTCTTTAATCGTGTAGTGCAATCTGAATTAGAACAAGAAATAAAAATAAAGTTCTCAGTAAATACTAAGTAAAATGGTTATCAAACTTATTCAACCTATTTTATATTTTAAATACAAAACTATTCTTAGCTACAGTCATTTTAAAAGAATAATTTTTAGTGTAATTTTGTTCTCTACAAGTTATTTTTAATACTGTTAACAATAATGGTAAAAATACATAATGCAACTTATTCACTTCTCTTTGAGTGGATTACATTAAGTAGCAAGATTTTTTTTCCCAAAGAAGTAATTATTAAGTATGATTTTCTAAATAGGAATTATTTTTAGAAAAATGTAATTACTGAGACTGATTTTCTAGATTAAAATATCATAATCATGTGACATACTTTATATTTAAAAGGATAACCTCTATGTACTTTAAATAGGATATGTGCTTCCCTCTTTGTAATAGGAGTAATTTTTAACCCATCAAGATTTTCTTACAGTCACTCTAGGTCTGATAACATGTATTTCAAGAAAGTCATCCAATGCTAGTAATGAAAGTGTGACCAAAGAAATTTACTTGTTATAAATAGGTGAGATATGCATATGAATAACTCATCAGACTATAAAAGTTTTCCTTCACTTACCCAATCTTTGATGTATGTCTTCATAAATCAATTGCTATTGTTAGGATGAAACCCAAGAATCTAGATGTTTGTCAAACCAATTATTTTGTCAGTGTAGTCATAAGCTGTAAATTATATTTATAATGTGAGCCCTGTAGTGACTATTAGAAGTATTTATGAATATGTAAAAAATGTTAGATCAAATATTAGAGGGAATAATTTATTTTAATTTTAGGCTGCAAGTAACAATATTGAAAATGTTTTTACCAAGTAGAAAGAGTTCATAGGATCTGAAAGTAATCAATGCAGATTAGTAGGATTTTGGCAAATAAAATTTTTAATTAAAATAAAAAGACCAGCCATAACTTATTTCCACAGTGCTGTTAGAATCTTAGGAAGTATAGGGAAAAGCTAGTGAAAATATATCTGACTGAATGATAATGCCCTAATTCTGCTTTTATCTTGATGAAATTTAAAGTAATTGAACTTTTCTCTTTGGTTATTATAAAAATCATTCCATTAGCTTGAACGACAACTCAGTTGTCATAACACCAGTGAGGAAACCTTCATAACCGCTAGGCTCCTTTTCCCCTGCCTGATGTTTTAGTACTCTGCATCTTGTTCTATAGTGAATGAATTGATTTAAATTTAATGTTCCTCTTTCCTTTCCATGGCAGCCTGAAACCTTTGGCCTACAGTCATCAAGAGGGTGTGCTCCCTGCAACTGCAATTCCTTTGGGTCTAAATCATTCGACTGTGATGACAGTGGTCAGTGTTGGTGCCAGCCTGGAGTGACAGGAAAGAAATGTGACCACTGCGCCCATGGTCATTTCAACTTCCAAGAAGGAGGATGCACAGGTCTGCAATCTGAAGGAGCCTGAGCCCTACCCCTTCCTCTCTGGTCGGGGTGTCTTGCAAGTTTGTTGGGCAGGGGTCCCCGATATTAAAGAAGAGGCATCCGATAACAAATATATGCTACAAAATATTTAACCTAATAAGAAATATATATTTATTTTAAATAAATTAGCAAAAGAAATACATTGCAATTTGTGACACTGCCCTAGAGATAACTGAATTTGCAAGTACTAGATACAAATGCATCAGCAAACCCCAGTTCTGCTCTGTCTTTTCCTGACTGTGTCTTGAAAACTGTGGAAAGAAACAGATTGGCTCTAGATATTTTTCAGTTTGTAGGAAAATGCACGCAGGCGTTTCTAACATGATTTGCCCAGGCAGTATTCTCCTATGTCCAGCCACAGCCTTCTGACAATCCTGGTACAGAGAGTAAAATTAGCACAAAATAGTTGAAAGTAAAGACTCAACATTAGCATCGATTTATGTGCCACTAATATGGAATTGACCCTTATTCCAACCTACTAACCTTTGCTTACTAAACTCACTGATTCAATATTGATGATACTTCTATACTCTCAGTACCATGATAAGTACATGGTAAGATTTTTTAAGACTTTTTTATGGACTACTGTAGTAAATTTATGTGAAAAGTATCAGGAATAACATTTGAAATTATTCTCAAACACTTATGATATACAGTTGTGATTATAAATTAAGCCATTAGAAATTATTCTAAATGTTATCATTGTAGTCCCTCCAAAACTCTGCATGTGATTTCTAAGTCAATATCTGTATATACCAAAAATTCTAAAGCTGAATTTTAAAATATGCTGTTTTTTTTTGCCCTGGCTGCTGTGATTCAGTGGACTGAGCACCAGCCTGTAAACCAAAGGGTTGCCGGTTGGATTCCCAGTCAGGGCACATGTCTGGGTTGCAGGCCAGGTCCCCAATGAGGAACGTGTGAGAGGCAACCACACATTCATGTTTCTCTCCCTCACTTTCTCTCTTCCTTATCCTCTCTAAAAATAAGTAAATAAATCTTTAAAAAATAAAATAAAATAATACTGTTTTAATCTAAATCTCACTAACATTTTCATGTAATTGAAATAAATGAAATTATGCTATATATTCAAATGTATCCATTACCAAAAATTATAAAAGAGACCAAAAACCTTATTTAAAATATTGAAATAGAGAACATTTTAGAACTTCAGACATAGTAGCATTTAACCCAGAAAAACAGAACAGAGAACAAGAACCAAATAGGTAAGATAGCAATATTTTGAGAGCATGACATACTCCAAAGAGCTTAAATTTATTTAGTGGCACCACAGGTGACCAGTTATGTGAAGTTAATTGAATGACCTGGTTTCCCTGTCCCTTGGCAAAATTCATCTATTAAATAAACAAAGTAAGACCTGGCTGGTGTGGCTCAGTGGACTGAGTGCCGGCGTGCAAACCAAAGGGTTGCTGGTTTGATTCCAACTCAGGGCACATGCCTGGGTTGTAGGCCAGGTTCCCAGTAGCGGGGTGCTTAAGAGGCAACCACACATTGATGTTTTTCTCCCTCTCTTTCTCCCTGCCTTTCTCCCTTCCCCTCTCTAAAAATAAATAAATAAAATCTTTAAAAAAATAATAGTATATACCTTGCTGGGTTTTTGTAAGAATTAGTTGAATTGATGGCTATACAATATTCAGAGGAACGCCTGGCACATAAGTGCCATGTAAGTATTTATTGTTATTGTTATAATTATTATCATTATTTCTATATAGGCATTATCCATGTGATACACATTCTATTTTAACAAAAAATAAAAACAAGCTAATTACTCATTTGTCTTATTAAGTCAGTGTTATGATTCTATTAAAGAACAACTTAGAGAATTTCTATTTGCAGGTAATGATTTGAACTGTCAGAGACATTTTTAACACATAAATTTAAAAACAAAATGAACTATTTTACTTATTAATAAATAGTGCATATAAACTAAATCCTTTGGCTGAAAATTAGCAGCAATGATAATAATGATAATAAAAATAATGGCTAAGATTTATTTGGTGTTTACCCTATATCAGGTATTATGCTAAACATTTTTCATAGGTGGTATGAAATGCTGTGCACTATGATAATTATAATCCCTTACAATGTGAACTTAATCAAATATCCCAAATGTATTTTGTTAAAAAGATTTAATCATCATATAACCAATTAAAAGATTTCTTGTAACATTCGTCTTCTATTTAAATTCAAGTTCTTTGGTTTTTTCTTCTCTTGCTTTCTCTCTTTAATATGAAACACTGCACTAAAATATACTCAGTAACTAGGTCACCTATTATGTAATAAGCAGCATATAGTCCTTATCTTGGATAGCTTGGAAGGTCTCCATCTTGTGTTTGCAATCTTTGTGACAGTGCATCGGTGGGGTGAATTTGTGCTCTTTATGTATTGCATTGGAGCATAGAAAATTAAAAATGTATTGAAAAAAAATAAGGCAGGTGGTAAATAAAACTCAAAAGCATCTATCTATAAATGTATATATTTATATATGTCAGGGTATATATACAATATACATTTATCTGCCTATAAATGTGTATATATATGTCTCTCAGGATATATATATGGGTATCAGTATATACTGAATTTAGGAAGCCTATTAAGCTTAATGGTTTTTATTGCAAATCATAATCATCATAGGAAGGAATTGTTAATCTATACAGTATAGAAAATTAATTATGAATTAAATATAGAAACGCATATAAGATAATACAGTTAACATGGAATCTGATACACCAGCTCATTGTTTCCTTAGGCATATTTGAAAAGTTATAAATGCTTTACCTTTTGAAACTATTGAGTGAATTACAACATATATGTGTTGAAAAACTCTGAAGTACACTGCACTGTGATATAAAAGGTGAATGAATTAAGATTTTACTTTCAAGGATCCTTAGCTATAGTATGGAAAATAAAACAACACAAATCGCATTTTCTATCAAAATTTTACTTTTTTATTCCTCCTTTCACCTGTGAAGCTTGTAACTGTTCTCATCTGGGTAATAACTGTGACCCAACGACTGGGCGATGCATTTGCCCTCCCAATACCATTGGAGATCAGTGTTCTCAATGCGCACCTCGTACCTGGGGCCACAGCATCATCTCTGGCTGCAAGGTGAGTGAGTCGCTTTATTTCATCTGATAATGTGTTTGAAAGACTTTTTGTGTTGGTAGAGCTCTATAGTTGGGCATTTCAAATCCAATATTATATTACAAAACAATGTGGAACTATCACTATGGAGTGATTGCAGTGATTGATCAATATCTCACATTTATTCCACTTGTGGGAAAGATAATGAAGTAAGAACATATTTATGCCACCTCATCCATGATACCTACCAAAAAGGTGGGAAAAGAACAAATAAACATGTAATAAAATGGAAAGAGCCAGAGCCTCCCACTTACACACAATGAACTATATTTGCAGAGTACAAAGTACAAGCAAATTAGGAACTAATTAAAGGAATTTGCCAAAAATCTGTACGAATTACCCTCAAATTATGACTAGGTTTCAGTTTCTAGTAAATAGTTGAGAAGTTCTGAAGAGTCTTATTAACAACCTTTCACTTAGAAAAATTCTCAATTGTTTCCATAGATGGACCTTAGAAAGCTACACGGCCAAACTCACATTTAGAGAAATATATGCAGCATCAGTTACTAGAAGTAACTATCCAGTTTGAAGATTCAGAGAGCTACATTTTTGGAAACAAAACAAAAATTCCTCAAAAGTTCCAAAATTTTAGATGGGTGTGAACAATGTTACAAGTTTCTATAACTCTTTTTGCATTTTCCACTTGGAATCCAAGTATCTGTCTCATCACTGGACTCTCGAACAAGCCATAAGGAGACATAGGAGGGTTCCATTTAGCCACAAAACCTAATGATGTGGCCAAATTCTAATAAAGCTCCTGAAATTGCAGCTGATATCTAGTGTTCAAACTATAGATCAGGATAAATTATAGACCAAGCTTTTTTAAGTAGTTATATATTTGATGTCATTATATAATGATCATTGACCATCATGTGGTTTGAAGTTGTTTTGATTACTTTGAACCACTACTAAAAATATAAATTTCTGAATAACCTCATCATTATGATCAGTTAAAAATTCTTAGAGCTCTCACAAATATTTATAAGCATGAATTCTCTTATTTTACAAACTTGGATGACTGTAATCTAAATCTACAGTGATTTGAGTTTATGGCTTTCTCTCTTTGTGTCATGGATAATTTCTCCGTGCCGAGGTGTGAGCACACACATCATTTGAGCGTTTATTAAAGAAGAATAGAAAGCCTGCCATCTTTTGCTAGCAGGGGAATAGTGCATAAACCCTCTGTTGCTAAACAAACATTACATCTAATTATGATTCAGGTTTGATGTCGACTAAAGTGCTATCTAAACATATGGTTAATGGTTTCATTTACTCTTTACTATAACTTGCTGGATATACTTCCTGCTTTGGAAAGGTGTCAATGTCTATTGGTACTGTCAATTAGTCTTTAAGAATGATGCAATAAATTAGGTAGCAGGCATTTTATATTTTAGTTAAATGATAAGGATGTCTCATAAGGCATTTTTTAAATTTATTGCATGATTACAGTTTCCATCCATACCTAATTTACTGTTTCTGATCATAGCTCATTTTGGTTGAGTCAAGGAAAAAATATTTAAACGAATAAGCCAATCATCCTTATTTTGAAATCTCATTCTACACTTGATGTTCTATAAGGATGAATTACTTGGAGTGATGACAGTGACTTGTTCAATGCTTGGAAACTGTTCATGTCTGCAACATAATAAATAATTTCATTCAAGGTCTAAAATAACTTTTAATAACATCACCTATCCAGCACTTTTTACTGGACAGCAGTGAAGACATAAAAAATACTTAATCATAAAAATATCCAAAATAAGGCCTGGCAATTATTTTTGTATCAGAATCTTGGAAAATATTTCACCAAGCATTTGGACAGGAAAGAGATGATATATGGGAAGCCAGTGATTGTGCATCACATTCTAGAAAGAGTAGTCTCATAAGTAAAGCCTTCTTGGCAGGGGCAGAAGAAGAAATATCCCCAGCAGTGGTGGATATAAGAATTAAGCTGAGCAATGAACGTGTGAGAAATACAAAGTGAAATCCAGCCAGTACTAGATCTGGGAATTTGGCAAGTTGCTGTGCACATGAGTTTGCCATGGAGTTGTAGATCTCAGAAGAACAGTAGTGCGGCATTAAGAAGAGTCAGGTGACAGACTAAGTATAGATACTGTGTGGTGACAAATTCAGACACAGAGAGGCGTGGTACCCACTTGGATAGCAAGTCAGTACCCACTCAGGAGACAAACCACACCAGTTATTTAAACAGGGAAAGTAGGATATAAAGACTTGTTAACCAGTAAAAGACGGTTCCTTGAAAAGTTACTGAAGTAGCAGATACAAAAGAAAAGCTACCAGCTAGCTTTAGGCTTACAGAGGGTGGACCATAAAGGAACCAAGGGCTAAGACAGGCCACACATTTCCCACTCCCCAACGCCACCAAGGCTGAGATTCGGATCTATTTGAAGAGAGGGTGGATACCACAGGACCACACAGCTTGCCTGTGGTAAAACAAACAATGACTAAACACTTGGCGGGGTTTGTGTGCAAGTGCTAGTCTAAGGAAGCTGCCCACCACTGCTGAGGGCTATGGGAATGACTTAGAAGCAGCCTGTCATGGTCAGAGCTATGTGTAAACCGAAGCTACTTAGAAATCTGGGAACAGTGGTCTTAGGAGCACATTTAGAATCATTCTGACCTTCTAGGCTCTCAGGATAAATAATATAATAATGATAACAATGAGAGTAACCCAGGACAGGAGTCTCTTCCCACCACTGAGGGTTTTTTGGTCTCTATAGCGCCCTCTGTTGATGAAGCTTAACATTCACCTACCAGGCCCTGGAGAAATGTCTATAGGTTCTTTTTTTTTTTTTAATATTTTATTGTTGTTCAATTACAGTTGTCTGCATTCCCCTCCAACTACTCCCCCCCACCCCAGCCAAACTGACCTCCCTCTCTTGCTTCCACCCTCCCCCTTGGTTTTGTTCATGTGTCCTTTATAGTTGTTTTTGAAAACCCTTCCCCCCATTATCCCCTCCTACCTCCCCCCTGGTTACTGTCAGATTGTTCTTAATTTCAATGCCTCTGGTTATATTTTGTTTGTTTTTTTCTTTGTTGATTATTTTCCAGTTAAAGGTGAGATCATATGGTATTTGTTATTCACTACCTGGCTTATTTCACTTAGCATAATGCTCTCTAGTTCCATCCATGCTGTTGCAAAGGGGAAGAGCTCCTCCTTTCTCTCTGCTGTGTAGGTTCTAACCTTAGCATCACAAATCAGGGCAAGGAAGAGTGAATTTAAAGCTCTGCAACAGTAGATTGATCATTGGCACAGCTGGTCTCTGAAAATCATTTATTTATTCCAAGATTCTAAATGGCATTTTAGACATACTCTTAGACATATGCTCCTATTACATTGCAAGGAGATATGAACTTTGTAAGTCAGGAACAGAAAAAATTTTAAAGAATATAAGAAAAACAGTCACATGGATGAGGAGAAACCAAAAAAGAGAGGAAATAAATCATTGAAAAGAAGCTAAACATGCAATAGTGTAATTAAAAGAAGCATTGGATATATACATACAAAAGAATTTTCCTGTGTAAAATAAGAGCTATAAAATAGAGAATCAAATTTAAGAGGCAAATAAGAAAATAACTGCTGAAGACATGAGGACATTACAGATCTGAGAGACAGAAGTGGGGAGGCATCACAGGGGATCCTGAAGAACAAAACTGGTCAATGAGAACAGAAGTAAATATCAAACATGAATTTGAAGAAATAACGCTGTGACCAGAAACAGCTTTTTATCAAACTGCAAAAACTCACCATGTCGCAGTAAATTAATTAAAAGAACTTCAAAATTAAAAAATTCCATTAAAATTCGTAATTACACAAATAAAGAGAAAATCATGTGTATATATAGTTACCAGCAAAGCACCTCAAATCAGGCTTGTCTGAAAAACGAAATGCCCAAAACAACACCCTACCTGTCTCTTCTCTAAATTCTCCCTGGCTTCCCCACATCTGGCTTGGTGCATCTTGTACGTTCTCATAGCATTTTGCACTTTCCTATTATATAATGTTATTCCATTATGTTCTATTTACATATTTACTTGTCTCCCTGCACTAAACTGTAAGGTATGTCTCTGTACAACTTAAGTGCTATGATATGAAAATGAGATGATAAAGTAAAATGACTTTGTTTTAAGTTCAGTCTTTGAAACATAAAAGGTTTGAAGAAAACCCATATCCAATTCCTCCTTGCCACAAAAAGGCAGAGGAAGTATATTTTCTTCCATATTCAATAGTGTTATGGTTGCTGGACACTCATATATTTTAGTAAATGCAGGAAGCAATTTTAGTGTTATGTTCACTGATGTTTCCCAAGCGACTAAACTGGAACAGTACAAAGCATATAATAGACACATGATTAATGTGTGTTTAATGGGAGCAAAGAAACATTAGAATTAAAATTTTAAGCTATTTCCCAGGAAATGGTGTTAATTGTTGCTGTTTTGGCCTCCTCCGTAGGCTTGTGACTGTAACACGGTGGGATCCTTGGATTTCCAGTGCAACGTAAACACGGGCCAGTGCAACTGTCATCCAAGGTTCTCTGGTGCCAAATGTACGGAGTGCAGGAGCGGTCACTGGAACCACCCTCACTGCACTCCCTGTGACTGCTTCCTGCCCGGGACTCAGGAGGCAACCTGTGATTCAGAGACTAAAAAATGCTCCTGTATCGATCGAACGGGGCAATGCACTTGTAAGGTATGTGCTGCCAAAATACATTGAGGAAAAACTTGCCTCAATTCTATTTTCATAGCTCAGTATTAACTTCATTCTGTATTCATTATTCCTGCGTCATTGGGCTAAACAAACAGAAAAACAAAAACTCACTGACAGACACAGAGATTTTATTGATGTATGTGCATTAGCATAGGGATAAGCACTGCTTTTTAAGAACTTATTTTTACCCAAAGCCTGATTTTTTTTCTAGTTGGTAGATGTGATATATTTTTAATGGTAAATTTTTCTTTACACAGCCACTTTTCTTAAACAAGAATAGTCTGGGAGGGGAAAGAAGACAGTTTTCTTAAGCAACAACAGAGAAAATCAGAGCTAAATAATAAGGCTTATAAAAAAAAACATTTCTCCTCAAATTAATCTGCAATCACTGTGCACTGAAAAATATATTTAATGCTGTGGAAGTTCTGTAAAATTTCATCACATATAAACACTGACATTTCAAACAGTGACTATGTGGGAATTTCAGCCTTCATTAATATTGTTAAACGATGTAGAAAAACAGCCCATTAAAAAGGATAAGAGAGATTTTTTTCCCCATCTTAGATGTATCTGAAAAATCAATTTCAGGGTAAATGCAATTAAGACTGGGTCACAGGTATCTTTTCAAGAAAAAGTCAATATGGAGAAGGACAGAAACACAGAAGGATGACATCCAGGGAGTGATTGCTAGAACAATCTTGAGAATTCAAGAAAAGGCAGCCTCTGCCACTCGGGTTCCTGAAACAAACCCAAAATACAAAGCTGCATTGTTACGTATCTTAATTATAACTACACATTATACTTGTTTATTTTATTTTTATTCAATCTTTTATGTTTCCATTACCATTTATATTTAATGCATATTATATGATTATACATACATTATATAATAGTAATTTTATAAATCTACATTTTAATATCTTGTCTTTTTACATCTATTTTTTTTGCATTACATCACTGTTTAGGAATTGATGTTTTTATTTTGCACTTTAAATTCTCATGACTCATACTGTTCACAGCAGAATAGTAGAAAATGTGCTGCTTAGATTTAAAAAACAATATACAATATCTTTGGTAATGTCCTTATGTATAAATAAGGCATATTTTACATTCACCCAATGTCAACGAGATTATCTACATGTACAATCTGAGATGTGAGTATGATACTCAGTGATCTTTTTTGGGTTTTTTTCCATTTTTAAAACGCATACCCCTGGTATTTATTCTCAAGTTTATTTCTTTCGTCACTTCACTGTTACGAACACTGAGGGACTCCCATCTTTCTTCAGGTGAATGTGGAAGGTGTCCACTGTGACAGGTGCCGGTCTGGCAAATTCGGACTCGATGCCAAGAACCCACTTGGCTGCAGCAGCTGCTATTGCTTTGGCGCCACTACTCAGTGCTCTGAAGCGGAAGGACTGATCCGCACAAGGGTGAGTGAGGACCTGCTGAGCCATGTAATGGTATAATGTTATCCCTGCTGGCGTCTTTTAGCTGGGCACTGAGGGCTGGGAGGAAATGGCAAAACATTTAAGCAACCTTTTCCCCTGTGCACATCTCAAAATGGTAAAGGGGCCGTGTGCCTTTAGAGGGTTGGAGTAAATGCCTTTTTTAATTTTCCTTAAAAACAGTTCATTTATTGTTATAAAGAAATAGATGCCAAGAGAGAAGGGGAAACCTTGCAAGGGACACTTGTGTGGGGATTGGAAGAAGCTGCATTCTGAAGAGTGAGGACTCCGGAGCATGAATCCTGATCTGTGCTAATGCAGTCATGAACACCAGGCTCCTTGCACACTTATTCCAGCCAGCCTTAGAGAATCATAGATTTTTAGGGTGGAAGCATGTTTATTTTTACTTACATTTTCCTTTAACTCTTCCTACATTTAAATGATACTTTTTGTCAATGTAAAAGTCTCTAATTTTCACAGATGTTGTGGTTTTCCCTGTGCCAGCAAGTCAGAAAGATTTACTCCCATGCCCTACTTGCTCACTAGGCTCTAGTTCTGTTTCTTGGGAAAACTGCTCATCAGAATGGGGATGGCACTGCAGGTAGACATGCTGTCCATAACTTGGTTTTAAAGGGGTGCCCCAAAGACTTGAACTCAACCTCCTGCTGTGATCCGATCCCTCGCAGGTGACTCTGACGCCGGAGCAGACCATTCTGCCCCTGGTGGATGAGGCCCTGCAGCACACAACTACCAAAGGCATTGATTTTCAAGATCCAGAGATTGTTGCCAACATGGATCGGGTGAGGCAAGATCTCCGTTTGGAACCTTTTTATTGGAAACTTCCAGAGCAATTTGAAGGAAAGAAGGTAAGGACAAGAACTTTGAAGTCACATGAGAACAAAGCAAAATATGTTTTAGAAATCACTCCATGTGGAGATCTATCTAACTCCTTGCCCCTCACTTTATTTTGTCAGTTGATGGCCTATGGTGGAAAACTCAAGTATACCATCTACTTTGAGGCAAGAGAAGAGACAGGTTTCTTTACATATAATCCTCAAGTTATCATTCGAGGTGGGACTCCAGCTCATGCTAGGGTTATCATCAGGCATATGGCTGCTCCTCTAATCGGCCAACTGACGAGGCATGAAATTGAAATGACAGAGGTAAGGTTACTAGTTGTTTGGTGTAAGTATGCCAATGGGTTTACACTCAGTTTCACCAAAGTCATTCATTTTCTTGTTAACAGAAAGAGTGGAAATATTATGGTGATGATCCTCGAGTCAGTAGAACTGTGACCCGTGAAGACTTCTTGAATGTACTCTATGATATCCATTATATTCTTATCAAGGCTACATATGGAAATGTGATGAGACAAAGCAGGTAAACGCTGATAGAAAATACCCAAGTTAAGTTCTTATTCTAGAGTCTACAGGGAAGATCAGTAAGACATCAGGCAAGAAAAATTTAGAAGTGTTTGGGAGCATGTGGAGAGAAGACAAATCAAAGATGGCTTCTAGGTCACCTGGTGGAAGTTATTGCCATTTCCCCCAAAAGGAAAATAGGTTGAGAAGTAAGTTTAAGGGGCGAAAATGGTGAACTGACCTTTGACTCAGTGAGTTTTAGATACCAGTCAGAACTTCAGGAGATGATGTCCGATAGGGTAGAGATAATTAGCTGTGGTGCTATAAATAGGTTGCAAGACAGCTTTGAAAATAAGCCCCTTACACCCTCAGGGCCACCAGGCAGAGAGAAGTCGGCCCCAACTTTTTCACCCACATGCATTGTCATCTGTTCAGTTCACCCCAGTGCACCATACAATGCTGTCATTTTCCTGTGCATCATGATGTGAAAAGACTGGGAATCACAGCAAACAGAAAAGAGCACAGGAGAACAACAAAAATAAATACTGGAAGCCAGAGGATATGAATACTGTAAGGAACTGTTTTAATATGACACAAAGTATCCATTAAAATGAGACTTTCTGCCCCTGACTGGCGTAGCTCAGTGGATTGAGCTTGGGCTGCGAACCAAAGCATCGCAGGTTCGATTCCCAGTTAGGGCACATGCTTGGCTTGCAGGCCATGGCCCCCAGCAACCACACATTGATGTTTCTCTCTCTCTCTTTCTCCCGCCCTTCCCTCTCTAAAAATAAGTAAATAAAATCTTTTAAAAAATGAGACTTTCTGACATTGACACTTAGGATCACACTGGTGACATTCTTTTTGCCAGTTTTAGTGCACTTTTTTGGAAGAAATAGTCTCAACATTTTGAGGAATAAGCGGGACACATTGAACCTAATATTGTAAGTACAGACTAGTGTTTTCCATGAACATAACTATAAAAGGGAGGAATGAAATAATCTCAAAGTTCAAGGGATGATGGTTAAATCTCAAAGAGGAGTAAGCGTGTTTACATACAATGGGGAAAGAAGTCAATAGCAAGGAATGAATACATTTAAAAATCATGGAATAAAGAGAGGGCAAATAGTGGAGACGCCGTGAGGCTTGAACATCATGAGCACACGTAGTCAAGTTCCCTGAGTGGAAGGGGCAACGTGCCCGATGAGATAAAGTGAGGGGTCACACAGAGGTTTTTATACGGTGGAGGCAGAAAGTTGAGCTGAGTTCATACACGTATTCTCAATTTCTCTGGCATTTCATTTTCTCTATTATGTCCTGTAAGAATAAGAAATCGATAGATATTTGAAAGCAGTCTTGTATAATGAATTTGTAGACCAGTCCAGAGAGAGAAAACAAAAAAATTATGTAACCTCTCATGGCAAACCAATGAATATAAAAATACAACATTTCCAATGTTTACACTGTGCTAACCCTATAACAGAACTCCTTGTCTTTCATGCAGAAGATCTGTATTGCTTTTCTGATTATACCAAAAGCAAAAGGATAAATCAAGGGCCAACATTCACTTTCAAATCTGTATTCCTTCGGTTGTCCTTTCATAGCTTGTGCTTCTACCAAGAGATTATTTTATGTGAAATAATACAAAACATGTACCAAATATATACTGTCAGCTACCTTGTTAATTAATTTAAGTGTCAAATAAATGTAAATTAGATGGTAGAAGCTGAAGCAGGTTCACAGTCATAGAAGATAGCAAAGGACTTTGTGAGTGTGCAAATTAACTTGCAAGCTGTTCTGTGCTGCAGTAAAAGAGCGTGGTGGCGCACGGAACCCTTGTTAGCAGAACTGACAGTGCTGCCCTGCATTTTTCATTTTACTTTCTTTGGCTCTCTCACACAGGTCCCATCTTCCTATGCTGTGGGCATGTCTTTTTTCCTCATAAGTCTCTTTCCCTTATGACCTTATTTCACATTCCTCACTAAATAATATTTTTTGGCTTACAAGATCATTTTTTTTGAAACTTCAAAATAAATAAAGACCACTTTTCCTCTAGGTTCAGTAAAAATGAGAGTCATCATCTGGCACCAATAAGGACAAGTAAAGCAGGGGATTAGCCCTTGATTTTCTAAGACAGTGGAATTGTGACAAAGTAAAAAAATAATTTTGACTCTGGCCCCCAAAGTAGCAAAGACAAAACCCCGCAGGTTCACTCAGTTGCAAACTGAAGTAGTGTCAGAAGCAGAGAGTTGAACTTATTACACGTGTGGTTTAAGATTCAGATTTTGTACATATTTTCAATGCTGAATTTTTTCTCTGCTTTTGTCTTCTCTTACATTTATTTGAAGGATATAACAACTTTGTATTTCTGTTTTCATTTGAATAAAAGCTTGAATTTAGCTAAATCCCTGATTCAGGAAAATCAGTTACTCTCTAACCTCCTGAGAAAAAAGCCATGTATTATAGAAACATCCACTGTTGACCCCATTCAAGTTTCACTTGGTTTTTTTAAATACTCACAAGTCGGTTGTGTACAAGCATGTGCAAGGAGAGGAAAGACTCTGCTGGTAAATTCACAGGTTATAAAACACCACGAGATGCCAGCGGGGCTGCCTTGTCCACAAACACCAAGCTACCTTTCCATCTCCACAGAGAACCCCGGGGAATCTAAAGATAGAGTCGTTCTCGTAGGAGGGGAAGGGTTTGCAGGTCACAACTGCTCTGTTCAAACTCTGAATTTGAATTGAACGTGTGTTTCACAAAAGCTGACTGATCCCCAGACTGCAGATTCCAATGCTGGCGAAGTCAAAATGTGCACTCATAACTCAGTGTCAATAAAACTTATTTATACCTGCTATAAAGTTTATGATTCAAGCTGCTTAAGCCACCAGAGGTGCCTTTTATTGAAGCAAAACTGTTCACTGTCTCATTTAGATGTTTATTTTCAGAACATTTCATGTTATTAGTCATGAAATAGTCTGAGTTTATGAACTGTATATATTTTTATGCATAATTCCAAATTAATGAAAAGGGTAGCAATGTTTTTGCTGTGATTTTTTTTCAATTATAAGGACCTTTCCACCAATAGGAAGCATGAGTTAAGTTACTTGAAGGATTTATTTAATAAAGTTAAATAAAATACTGATTTGAAAATACTTCATCATCAGAAGATCAATATTATTCGATTATGCTCAATCATTGTTTTCTAGATGGTTTTCTGACATTTTAGAAGGACATTCAGAAACTCAAGGGGAAGATATCAGCGTCAGTTGTAAAGGAAAAGCTGTTTCACCAGTGACTGTAGGAGCGGTTCTAACGGGGAAGAACCATGGCTGTCTGTCTGAAAATCTATTAACTGGCCAGGTCTACCTGAAGCCACTCTCATTTTAAAAGTTGAGGGGGCGGGATCTTTATAATAACTTCTCAACAGGATATCAGACATCTAACTTACTAAACTCCTTTTGATTTATGTAAATATTTTGCAAATGTATAATCTCAACCTTTGAGAAAACAAAGATGCAAGAATCAGGTGTAGTGCATAAGTTCCTAAATTTTAGACAGCTTCAAAGCAACAGAATGACAAAAACCTGAGGGCACTCTTGTTGTAGGATTGACTGTTTGCTAGGTGATCTTACCTACTGCATGGTGATCTAATTGTATGTTTGCTGTGCCCAGCATTTCCGAAATCTCAATGGAAGTCGCTGAACAAGGACGGGTAACAGCAGTGACTCCTGCAGCTCGCTTGATCGAAAAATGTGATTGTCCTCCGGGCTACTCTGGTCTGTCCTGTGAGGTAAGCTGGTCCCTGCCTACCTGCTTAAGCCCAGCTCTCTTACCTGACCAAACAGAAATGCTCTCAGCTGCTGCAGTCATTACTTCCATGCCTACTCTCACCCTATTTTACTTGATCTTCCTTTCACAGTGAGAGACACAGTAAGAGGAGGAGGATGCTGTTCTTACCTAGGAGTAGGAGTCGCATCTGAAGGGAAATATTTTATAAACCTTTAAAAATCTGTAAAAATATGGAGCAGTCAGAAAATAATGTTTTCATAAGGCCCATTTATTACATCTGGTTTATTTTCCTGCCATTTCTTCTGACCCATTAGAGATACTGAAGCTGCAGTAGGTTAGTATTGTTATGAGTGGACTAAGTAGTTATCAATCTGTGTATTGATTTATACACAAATAATTTTATACATCTTCTTTTGTAAATAGGATTTGAGAAGCCATGTGATGCCACCAGGTTAAAAGTGAAGTACAGCTTAAAAGTGATAAATGCAAACCCCTTGAGAGGTGGCACAGTGCAATGAAAAGGAAAAATGGGTTGGCTCTGGTGAATCCTGCCTCGCTGCACCACCTGGGCAGGGCCTTTGCTCTCTTTGTCTCCAGACCCCAGCTTGTTGACCTGCACGGTCATCATGGGGATTCATATAAATGAGAACATAAGTGTGAAAGCCCCATTGTCAACTGAAGTGTCATTCAACTTAGTAACCTCACTGGGATTCCAGGTTTTTCAGAGGACAATTTCCTAAGAATAACTGCAAATTTCTTGTGAAACATCCCTGGAATAATGTTATAGCTTTGCTTGTGACTGTTCTGAAGGACAATAGTCATTTGAATGCGTCCATTTGGTCCAATAACATCAAATAAGCCATCTCATTATTAAATAAGAACCCCTACATACACATATATACAAATATATGTATATATATATTTGATACAAATATATATGTACATATATATGTATTTGTGTATATATGTATTTGTACACATACCAGTAAGTATATATACTGCACTTATATATACAACCCACCCAAATACACATATGCACATACAGTGTATATGTGAAAAAGGAGATAGTGAGCATGGTACATATGAAATATGCTATGTTTCCCATCAGTGGGTAAGATTTAAAGGTAGAGACAGAAAGAACTTGGGATTTTTCTAGAAAAGAAGTGAATTTATTTTTTTTTAATTTATTTTTTTATCTTAAGAAGTATTTGGCTATATTTCTGACTCACTGTGTAACCTTAGTCAATTCCTTAATTGCTATGGGCCTTAGTGGTTATATAGTTAGCCAATTAAAAAAAATAGTGATTGTCTTTTGAGGGTCTAAAATTTTCTGATTCTGCAATATTATTTTGCTATTCAGTAAGTAGTCAAGATTGACTTATAAATATCTTATAGAGAAAGTTACTCCAGCTGTATTTTTTCTACATTTATATAAAATAATACTACTGTTTACTTATGAATGAAAATGTTAGTGGAATAGCAAATTATTTTAATTAGTCTACCTTCATTCCGTATTTTAAATGTTAAAATCTCTCCTTATTGTGATCAGTAGGTTTTTAAAATAGTATGTTCTAAAACATGCTTTCCCATTATGCTTAATAATTTTCTATCATTATATGAAAATATACATTAACACAAATGAAGCAAATGATAAATTAAGAAAATCAAGAAAAACTAGGAATACATGCAAATTACCACCAGCATTGGCGGCTCCACCTACTCGTCATGAATTTCACTTGTGCTCCTATTTGCAGACAATGAGTGCAGTAATATCTGAGTGGAGAGATTATGGGGATAAAGGCCTATCTCTCATAAGAAGGTACCTGAGGTGCTCTCCACAACCCATTGCTTTTAATCTGTTATATATCTTATTTATAATTCATCTTGATTCAAAAGTGTAATTGCCCAGGCATAAAATCTAATCATCAAAGCAAGAGCTAAGGACAGGTTGTAAAGAACATACCCCATATCAGGAACATATGCTTTGGGTCATGAATACACAAAACAATTCCTTTACCATATTTTTGCCAAATGTGTGCTGTTCTAGAGATGTCTGCAATTATGAGATTTTCATTTCATGTTTTTTTACCCAAGATATGATGCAAACAAACAAAATGAAGTGTTCGTCATCAGTGAAAATATAGCTATGTGGGAAGACGTTTAGCCTTGGCCTATTACCTGAGGTGTTAGGACATTGCAGCCTGTTCATTGAAAATGTCAGTTCTAGAAATGCCTCCTTATTACAATTTATGATTTGAAGCAGAGACCATATTACCTTTAGAAGTGAAATAAAGGGCACAGTTTCCTCACCACACAAATTGGTGTGGGAGACATTGAATTTAACATACTTAATATCTAAGCTACTTCTCAACATCCTCTCAGTTAACATGGCTGCCTAAACTGACCTAAACTCAGGTTAGGTTGTGTGGAGGAATGGAAAATATTCACCACTGAATAGGTTGTTCTCAGAAATAGGATTATGGAAAACGGAAATGTGTAGGTCATCTTTTGATCATTTCATCCTCTTTCCCCTCCCCCAGGTTTGATAGGATGTTTGTCTCACAGCTAAATTAGCTGATGTCTCACTTAGAAGCTGTCACTTTTGTCTAGTAAAACTATTGCTTTTAAACCCCCAACAGTTTATACCTATGCTCAGCTCATTAAATTCAGAAGACAAAACAGTGAACACAGACTTTTCTTTTCACACATGCACAACTCTTCGGATAACTTTATCATTTCTGTTGCACATGGAAGATCCAAAGACGGTGCAGGTACATAAAATATTGAGAAATGGTGTGGATAAATGACCTACATTGTAATTTTGTTTCCCAGTGCAACTTAGAACAACCACTGTTGCCTTTATTCTTAATATATTCTCAATGACTATATTTTAAAAATTATCTGGGATAGAGGTACCCCTCTTGATTTATTATATGTTAAGCACTAAGGATACATTTATCTCATTTAATCCTCATAACAACCCTATAAAAATGAATTAATTACCCTTTATCAAGTGCTTACTATCTCCCTCACAATGTCAAGCGTATTTCCTAATACACTCACACCAACATCACTCACTCTGTGATGTGCTCCCCATTTGACAGGTGAGGAAATGGAAGCCCAGGCACTTTGAGAAACCTGTCCATGATCCACAGCTAGAAAGCAGCAAAACTGCAATTTGAACCTAGACATGTCTATTTCAGAACACCCAGACATACAAGCATTTATAGATCCCACAGCTAGAAAACAGCAAAATTGCAATTTGAACCTAGATGTGTCTGTTTCAGAACACCCAGACATATGAGCATTTATATCCACCTATTACACTGTACAACACCCTTATATTCCAGGTGAGAAAAGTGAGGCCCACCGTATTCAAAATGTGCACAAAAGCATGCATAGTAAGTGGTAAACAAGAATTAAACTCAGGATTGCCTGATTGTAAAACCCCTGTAAACATACAAGATAGTGCTTTTATGTTCAATGGTACAAGTAATCTATTCGTGTTGTCACGCTCTTGTGGAGAGAAGGGGGTGTTTTGCGGACGTCTGCTCCTGCAGCACACTGGCTCGTCACCGTGTTTGTCTCATGTTCCCTTCTGTCCACCCTCCCACATATTTGAGGGAACTTGATTCTAACATTCTGGTGAGATATCATATTATGAAAATTAATTAAATATGGAAAGGGAGCAGAAGAAAATTGAGGGATGAATAATTTTAGCATAAGGAAACTTTGAAAGAGTTTGAATTAGAAAAAAAGATAAAAATTAGAACGGTGTTTGTTTATTTGCTTTTCTTGAATTCTCAGTTTTGTTCCACAAAGGATTTTAGACAGGATTTTACAAAGTACTTGAACATAAATAAAAAAGAAAAAAGAAAGAATAAATAAAATAGAATAAAGAGTAGCTGTTATCATTCCTCTTTTGTTCCCAACTCAAATGTAATTATTCTCATGAATTTTTCCCAGTCCACTGAGTCTGCTATTGGAAAACACCCTCAAAAAAAGTTTTCTAAATGGAAAGAATAAATACAAAGAGGATTCAGGAAACAAGGGGATTAAACAGACATAAATATGCCCCATTCCTTTAAAAAGTGTGTTTTAAAGTTTCTAACTATTGCATCATAGAAGTCTTTTTTCTTTTTAAAATATATTTTATTGATTATGCTATTACAATTGTCCCATTTTTTCTCCATTTTATTCCCCTCCACCCTGCACCCCCTCCCACCATTATTCCCCCACCTTAGTTCATGTCTATGGGTCTACGTATAAGTTCTTTGGCTTCTCCATTTCCCATACTATTCTTAACCTCCCCCTGTCTATATTGTACCTACCATTTATGCTTCTTATTCCCTGTACCTTTTCCCCCATTCTCCCACCTCCCTCTCCCCACTGATAACCCTCCATGTGATCTTCTTTGATCACTCTTAGAAATCTAATCTGTAAGGAAACAAAATTAATCTAGCATGTTAGAACTGAATGAAACTTCAGAAACCATCTGGAGCCATATACCTGCTCACATGTGGGATGAGGGAACTATGTCTTAATGACCCCACAAGACTTGCCTGTGTCCCAGACAAACTACCTTGTTGAGGCAGGGCTTCCACGTTCATTCGTGTTGCACTACCAGAGTCTGCATGCCCTTTAAAGACTCACAGAGGAGGAACATGCAGGCAAGTCCCAATCCGAGCTACTTATTACACCTTCCTAAGAGTTTTAAAACAAACCCTGACCCTGCTCTGTAGCAATTAAATTTGAACCTCTGGAGGTGAAGCCAGGCATCAGTATTTAAAACTTCTCAGATGATTCTCTGTTCAGCCAAGGTTAAGAACCATCTGGATAGGTCTGGAAGGTTCTCCACAGAGGTCTGACTTGGGCTCCCAGTACGGGTCCTACTGTTTTTCCAGGGAGAGCCACAGTAAGAGGGGAAATTGAGTGTGTGTTACAGTAAAGCTTAACAGTGGCACTCATTTTAGAATTTTAGTCTATAGTATTGAATATCATATGATTCTTCAATGAAAGTGCTCCTTTGTTTTTTTTTTGTAGGACATGTCTTAAAATTTTGCTTGAGATATACAGTGGGGCAAAGGACTTTCCATCTGTGATTTTCACACACACACACACACACACACACACACACACACACCAAACAAATATACCAGTAAAATAATAATTACACAGGTGTCCAAGGATGAAATCCATGTAAAGAAAATCCAATTTTATCTTACAGTCAGCATGCTAAAGAATTGGAACAATCCACACTGTAGTATTTTTAAACACATCTTGAAGTGTTTCTTCCATTATGCTTAAATGAATTCCTCAGCCATAATTTCAAGACTTTCTTTGGTAAAAAATGGAAAAATCAATCTTGATTTTTAATGATATGAATAAACTTATTAAAATATATCATTACATCCACCATAAGACAAGAAGACAAGTGAGGCTCAAAATATTTGGAATACTATTCCTGGTTTTATTAGCTTGCTCAAAGCTGAGACATTATTAAATCTCATTAGAATTTTTTTATAGGCTGTGATAAAAGCACAGACTCTTAAGTGCTTAATTGAGGTTCTTTCACATTGTCTGAACCAAAATAAACAAGGAGCGCTGACTATTGATCTTTTTCTCTTTGTAAGGAGCTTCTTTGCATATTCCACTAGGGAGGATGGGGTTCAGAACCCAAAGGATGCAGAGGCATTAAGAAGTTCCTAATCCATTTTTTCCCCCTGCTTATTCAGCAACCACTTTTCTTTCAACAATGGGAGCGAGATAGCCTGTGAAAAAAAATCCTACAAAGCCACAGTGATAAAACAGTCCCTTTGTAATCTTCAGTGGTACCTGAACAACGACCTCTTACTCATAAATCAGAGTCTGATAAAGAGAGCAGCTTTACATATGAAGCCCGAGCCCAGGACAGAAGACTGCTCTCATTCTCCAGAGAAAAGAAGAGCTGTGGGCTTCCTTCCAGAAAGTCAGATGGTTTTGATACATTTACGTAATAAACTCGAATGAGGATGAAGTCTTCATTTTGCATATGTCAGCTTTGCCAGCAGTTTTCTGTTTGCTCTCAGATTTTTATTGCAAAATAAAAAAAAAGATTAGGGAAAGATACATTTTATTAGTGGCCTAATATTTCCAAGACATGTAGAGCTTTTATTATTTTGAATTTCTTACTATGATAGCCTTTAAATTATACCAATATAAATACTGCAACCATGACACCTTTTTATTTATTTGATTTTTCTGAGTCTTTTTGGATACTTGCTAGTTATCCATCAAGCACAATAGAAGCAGATTTTAGGTTATAAAAATATTGGAATTCTCTCTTCATAGAACAGTTTTATTTAAAAACAAATCTCTTAAGAAAAAGAGGACTATTGGAAGCATTTTCAGGCTGGGTGATATATGCAAGTGACCACTTTCCTTCCCTAAAATATGATGACACAGATGCTGCCTGTGCACTCTAGGGACCAGGCAGAACCGCACGTCAGGAATCAAAATAGCCGCTTGTGTTTGGAAGTCATGTTGCCTTTAATGCAGGTGAGGGGGGAAGGAGTCCTTTTTAACCACACCGAGAACCCAAGTATTGCTAAAGCAAGGTTTCCACGTTGGTTGTTCTAATTGACTTCTTTTTCTTTCAGACATGCATACCAGGATTTTATCGACTGCGTTCCGGGCCAGGCGGCCGCACCCCTGGGCCAACTCTGGGCACCTGTGTTCCATGTCAGTGTCATGGACACAGCAGCCTCTGTGACCCTGAAACCTCCATCTGCCAGGTATTCACTGGAGCTTTTCTTGAACAAGGTCTGGGTGTTCACTTCTCTTTACACGTGCTCAGACACCGTGAGCAGAGGCCAGCTGACCTGCAAGGCACGCGCGTGTGTGTGAAATAAAACATGCAGGAAAAAATGGCATGATTTTTTTTATCAGATTACACACTTTTAAAAGTAATTTAAAAATGATAATTGGGAAAACTACTACTCAGGTCAAAATACAAAATATTAACAGCATCTTAGAATAACAATGAAGGATACCACTATTTATGTAAAAATCACACAAGGGTTTTTTCTGATTATAAACAAAAATAAGTATTTTATGAGAAATTTGAAAATTATAGAGAAGTATTAAGAAAAAATTAAAGTCATCCAAAATTCAACTTAAGATAAACATTTTATGCGTTAGGTATTTCCTATCAATTTTATGTATGTGTTCATAAATACGATTTATATAATACCATAGGTACAGTTTTATATTGTTTTTTAATGTATACATTGTAAGCATATTATATTACTAGATATTCTGTAAAGTCTTTACAATCTTTAATAGGATATTCCATAATTTAACCATTTCCCTTAGAATTCCAGCTACTCTTATTAGGTGGTTATTTTGGTATGTTCCTACTGGTGGGTGAAATGGCACCAGGTGTTAGACCAGTGAAGTTGGATCGGTACATGAGTTCCAGCTAAGAAAGAATTCAGAGGCAAGACTCAAACTATAAGAGACAGTTTATTTTGAGAGCCATAGAGGTAGAAAAAGGAGCCATAGAAGAAATAGGCTCAGGAAACAAGTTGCAGAGACAAAAGAAAGGTCCTTGGTGCTTGGAAGAAAGGGAGAGGCAAGGAAAACGAGGTTGCATAAAGGTGTGGGCATGCTAGAGCATAGCTGAGTCCTCAGTCCTAAGGGCTTTTAGGGTGGTGATTTTAGGGAAGGTCTCAGGGGAGGTTCTCAATGGAATATTCATCAGCTTTCCAGGTGTTTCCTTTCAGGGTCATGGTCTCCACTGATTGTTCAGTGCCAAGCATGGGGTTCTGATGTCAGCCATGGTGTCACTTGGCTAATTTTGTTGCTTTTCTAGGCCTGGAGCTGAAACACAACTAAGGCCCAGCTGTATTTGATGCATGTCAACTTCATTGTCCTGGGGTCTTAATGCTTAAAGGCTACTTTTCAGCCCCTTTGTTCCATCCCCCTCTAAGGAAGTCTAACTCACATGACTAGCAACATATCCAGGAGGAAGGTCAGGGAAGGGTCTGAACTGCCTGACCAGCAATATAAAAGGGCAGGGAGGTTAAACCGCATGACCAGCAAGCAATACGCTAGAGGAGGAAAGGTTACCCTGGGGTAAGGTCCTTGTTCTCCCAGTTTTGCCCATTGCTAGGCATATCAATGCCAACCTCTCTCTCTCTCTCTCTTTCTCTGTATGTCTCTGAAATCAATAAAAGCATATTCTCAGGTGAGGATTAAAAATAAAAATGATTTCTTTTTAAAATCAAGTTGGCTATTAAATATATCATATGCTTATTTGTGAGGAATGTAGAGGAAGTTAAGATATGTTTAAGATATGATTATATATACTTTTTGTCTTACATAGAATAATGAGTGATAATATTGACTAGATTATATTAACCATCCTTGAATTCCTAAAATAATTACTTCTTGATTTCAGTGTAGTATTGTTTTGCTGGTCTGCTAACTTGTAAAATTAAATAGATAATATTAGGAGAGGGGTTAATTTATACATTATTTTTTTATTAATGAGAATAAGCTTTCATGAACCTACAGAAAACAACACTGAGGGCAAACTTGGAGAAGCCAGACAAGAATTCTAATACCATCTCTATCACTTTTATTTTTCCTGTATTTTTATGCATTATATTAGGTGATATTGGTTAATAAAATTATATATGTTTCAAATGTACAATTCTATGACACATCATCTGTATATTTCATTGTGAGTTTACCACACAAAGTCAAGTATACATTCTTAAGTGAAAATTAAATGTATTTCTTTTTCCTATCTTCAATCTTCACAGTTATTCAATCTTCACAGTTATTTTTAACAGAGGCATATATACTTTATGTGATTGATTTAGAATAATTCATACAGGACACACTTTAATTTTATGTTTTAGGATACAAGTTGTTGTGTATCTGCTGTGGTTTTTGGACCAGTTGGCTGTTTTAGCTGCATCTGTGCCTTAAGAATCTTAAGTACTGATCTGTTTTCTGAGATAACCCTGGATGAAGTGAAAAATAAATACATATGTGCATCAGATATGCACAGCTTGTATAAACTGTTGTGCTCTGATTTATTATATGTTACTTCAAGGAACTTATAACTTTTGAATTTAGACAACTTTGTTTATCTTTGAAACAGCCCCTTGAGGCAAATAGGAAATAACTATTACTACTTCGATACTATGACTGAGGAAACTAAAGCATGCTGATTTCTATAGTGGTGTGGATCCCAGTTTAACATCATATCCATTGCACAATACAGTGCCCTGTGCTCCGGTACAGTGGTCATAAACATGACTCTGGGGTCACTGCCTTCATTCAAATCCTTGCTTCATCTCTTGTGGGCTGTGGAAGCACAGGCCATTTATATAACCTAATTGGGGTCTTAGTTTTTTCATTTATTAAATGAAGATAATAATGGTGCTTAGTCATGAAGTTTTTATAAAGATTCAGTGGAGTACTTAGCACATGGTAAGCTCCACAGAAGTGATTGTAATAATGATACATATGATGATGATAAAGATAATAATTATTAGTATACATTTTATCTACAATTTATAGTCTAAGAATCAATAAGATGATAATTAATCAAAACAGGTAAAAATTATTATCTCCTGCTACATCTTTTCACTTATCTATTTTTTCCTTTATACCTTTCTTCAAGAATATGGGGTAGAGAAGAAACAAAACTAGAGAAAACTTTACAGACTATTTCAAATGCTAAAGAAAATGCACATGATTTTGTAACTATTCTCTTTATAATTCATAATGACACAAGAGAGGTGGTGCTTCATCCTAGACATTAGTAAATCCTACACATAGCCATGTTATTATTAATAGCTCAGTGACTATTGCCTCTTAAGGAAAATTTTCTTCAGAAGGGAAGAGTAAAATGTTAGTGATTCTGAACTCCAAGAGAGGAAAGGAAGAGAAAATAAGTGAATTAACACTAATTAGTGCACACACAGACATAATAGGTAGGTAGATAGACAGATAGACAAACAGACAGATAGATTTTCAGAATTTATATATAACACATCTATTTATCTTTGTATCTGTCTTTCTATCTCTCTATTTCTCTACACACATATAGTCTCATTTAACTATCCATGGTCAGTGTTTTTCCTGTATTTCACACCTGGAATATCAAAGTCTCAGCTAGCTGAAGTAACTTTCTCAAGACCAAATAGTTTGTGAAAGTATATTTTTACTCTATTACAACTCATTTTAAAATGCAAAGAAAAACCAGTCTACATTATTGATGTGCCCTGCTCTCTTAAATGTTATCAGTATCTGTGGTTAAGCAATTAGCCCTATCTGGAGTAAATAGATTCATAATAGAATCTACTGTGGTTAAGTAAACCCAGTCTTATTTAGTCTGTCTAACAACCTCACCAAAATAGGGATTATTGGCATTTTATTACAACCCCGAAGATTAATGCTGAGGAAATTTAAGTAGCCTGTGGAGTCTTGGTTAAAATATATTAGAATCAGGTTTGAAATCCACTATAAAATGCTACTACATGCTCTCAGCTAATTAAATGAGTTTGACTTTGAAGACCCAGGTGACTTATATCCTAGAGTACTGATAGAATCTACAAATATGATTAAAAGCCATCTATGAAAAATATTTGCAAAACTATGAAAATGTAAAATTTGTCACAGGATAAAAACAAGCTAAATGCCGTTCCAGATTTTATAAATGAAAGTGGAAACAGACTGAATTTCATCTCCAGTAAGATTTAAGAATTGCTTCCTTAACCAATATCTGTCAAGTGTGGGAAAATAAACAGTGCTCAGCAGGAAGCAGAATACGTTCCCTCAAAATAGAACATATCGAACTAATTGCAAGGGTTACTGTGTATATAATATCTGAGACTGTTGTTTCCCGAATCCCATTATAATATCAAATTCATCAGAAAGTGTGATACAACATACATCAAATTCAGCAGAAACAATGACAGCTACCATGTGTCCAGCCCTATGTATGTTCCAGGACCAATGCTGGCTACTGTACATAGATTTTTCTCAGTTGTCCTTACAATCAGTTTATGAGGATTGTTCCTTCGTTCACAGTTGATGAGCTGATGATGAGACAAACTAAATAATTTGCTCAAGTAATAAGTTGGTAAGGGTCAGATTCAAACTGGTATGTTTACATAGGTATTAACAGAATGTTTGCGATATCTTCTCAAAAGGATAAAAGTACGAGCCAGATGGTAATCAGTTAACAGGTGTGATGGGTGTAGCAGGTGCAGAACAGCGTGGCCTGGGATAGTCCCTAGAGGTGTCCCCAGTGATGAAGCACAGGCTTCGTGCTTGACCCTGTCGTGTACACAGTCTGCATCAGTGATCTGGATGAGGTCTATCAAATATTCAGAGGATATAAAGTTGGAAGTATTATCTGATGTGTTGGGTGGTCAATAATTAAAAAGAGCCTGACGGGTGAAACTGTAAGATGAAATTAATTTAAAAAGGTTTTGAACTGAGGCAGGTTTACTTGTCTGTTCATTTTTGAGGTATTTGTTAATATTTCCAATTTACAGACGCTGTGGTAGGTGCTAGGAATATGAAGATGAGAAATGCTTGGGACTTGCTGTCTGGGAGCTTATAGTCTCATGTTTAAGGAAAAGAACAGAGGCAATGACACATAATAGCAATTCCTATGAAATAGAAGTTTTTACTTGACTACAGATTCATTTCTATAAATCCAGGTCAAGGGAGGAAATACATTCAATAGATTTGCAAATCATGGGAAGAGACTTATAATCTCTATTTTAAGAGAAATCCTGAGTAATCAGGATTGTAAAGTGTTTAGCTTCAAAAAAAAGATATTTAGCTTGAAAAAAGATTTAGGAAGTAATAGTATTGTTTAGATATTTAAGGACGTTCGTTCACTGAGAAATGGAAATTAGATTCAATCTACATAACTTCAGATGGCACGACTTGGATCACTGCCTGAAAAGTCAGAGTAAAATTAACTTTGTTCACCATAAGGGAAATTTCATAGCTTTTTGTTGCATGAGAAGGAAAGGACTGACTTGTACATTTAATACAGTATCGAGGAAAGTGTGGGGGCATCCTTATAAAGAAAGCAGCTTAGACTGAGTAACTTCTAACATTAGGTCTAACTTACAATATTATTAATATTATATTCATTTGACTTAGTAACAGGAAAATGTATTTCCAATTTTACCATGTGCAAAAAATACCAATATGATATATTTTATTAGATTATTGAAAAGATACTAGCACACAGCACAGTGGAGAATATAATTGAACTTCTCATTAAGCCACTAAAACTTAGAAACTTTTTTCAGAAATGTCTCCTATTTCAAAGTAGACAGGGAAGTCATATGAAAGGTCTACATCAAAAAGTTTCAAAAATGGCACCATGATTTATGTGTTGTGTTTGCAGACCTAACCATAACATTTGATTCCGTTAACCAAGTGTGGTCTGTCAGCAATGCTCTGAAAGATTGACTGTCCAGAGAAGGTCAAAATATTTGCTTGCTCTGTGAAGAAATTATATCGAATAGTAGGTATGACAGCAGCAAACCGTATTTTTGAATCTCTATATTTCTTATGATTAACATTATCTTTGAGAGTTGTATTCGGTTATTAATGTTATATTAGGTTGCATAAAATAATGATTTATCTTTTACAAAAGTAAAATGCTGATAATTATTGTTCAAGATACCGTGTATTTTTTTGGCATATGTTCGTTTCTATAACTATAAAATATGTGCTTAAAACACTCCCCAGTTAACATCATCTGACACCATGTGGAATGATTTGAGGCTGGAATTCATAGATAATTATTTTTCTTACAACCATTATTTCTTTCCATGCTACTGTTAAATATGGAATGACTGTTTTATTGCTAAAATATGGTGGTTCCTTTGGATGGCTGAATGAGAGAGGATTATGGTACTTAAATCAATATGAAAATACAACAAATCATCTTGCCCTGCTAACCACCTTTTCTGTTCAAATAATTAGACTTGAAACTTGGCCTTTTTCCTCCTAAGAAGCCTGACCAGTCTCATCTGTATTTCAAAAAAAGAGTGTTCATTCAGGTAGTCATTCAAAATGGTCATTGGAGCCCACCATGTTTCAGTCGCTGTGTTGAGCATGCAGGAGCATTTAGCCCGAACTCAGAGCACCAGGGAATGTTTATCATAGAAAGTAACATGACAGCTGAAATGAATAGTTGCTTGCCAGATAAAAGGGAGAAAAAACATTTCAGAACAAGGAGTTTGTATGCGAAAAGTCCCGGAGGTAAGAGAGAGTGCTGCATAATTTTAGAATTTCAGACAGTGCCATATGGTTTAGTATAGTGTGCAAAGGTACAGTAGCTGTGCCTAGAGGGGTAAGTAGGAGCCAGATTATAAAGGTCTTTCTTGCCCCGCTAGAGCATTTGCTACTCTTCCTGAGGGCAAAGGGGAACTACCGCAGGCTTTCAAGCAAGAAAATGGCATGGTTTGATATGTTCTATAGAATGATCATGCTGATTGTAATGTGGGGAAATTACTGGATGAGAAAATTTGGAAGTAGGATCTTTAGCTAAGAGGCTGTTCTAATAAGATAAAAGATGAAAGTAGCCAGATAAAAACAGTAGCAACAAGGATATAAAGAAACAGAATGACAGAGTCATGGGATATGGTGATCGAATAGGTGTTTGGGAGGAGGGAGGCTTCCAGACTGCTGGCCTGGGTAATTCAGAGGCTGAAAGTGACCCAAAATAAATTGGAAGTGCAGAAATATTTGCAGGTTTTAAAAGGTGAACATTTCAAATTCAAGGTGCTTTTATGTTATACAATAACAGATATCCAAGAGGCAATTTGGAATATAAGTCTGGAAATCATTAGGGAATCTAGTCTGATTGTATAAAATATTCAGTTGGGGCCACATAGATGATAGTTGAAGTACAGGAATGGGTGAAATCACAAGGTAGAATGTATAGAAAAAAAAGAGATGAGAACCACAGTTAGAATCAAGGACGCCTCTTCTTACTAAACAGAAAGAGAAGCAAGAGCCCATGAAGGAGAATAAAAAAGAGAAGCCATAAAAGTAGGAGAAAAATTGATAAATCACACTGGTATTAAGATACCACAGGAAGAGAAATTTCAGAGTGGCCAGAAATGTCAGCTGCTACAGAAAGTCCATATACTATGAAGACTGATTATTTTGTCAGTAAATTTTAATTTAGCAACAGAGGTTTTATGTGGGAGCCTCGAATCATGTTTTAATGGTGAAATCAGAAAACTTTTGAAAGGATGAATAGGAGGTGAGCAAGTACAGACCAGGAATGCAAACAGTGCTTTTAAAAAGCTTATCGAAGATAGGATGAAAATTGTCAAGGGATTTAAAACCTCAGAGATTTTTTTTAAGGTACAAAAAGCTTGACCAACCTCAAATGTCAAGGGGGATTAAGGCAGCAAAGAAGGAGCAGATGCAGATGCTGGAGAAAATGAGAGGCAGGCGGGCAAGGAAATCAGAGTTTAGGAAAAAAGTAGCTTTAGACAAAAGACAGAATGCCATGTCCTATGACAGAAATAAATATTAAGGGGATGGAAACTAATTCAGGCAAGATGGTAGGTCTGTTGGCTTTAAGGGAGCACCCAGATGAGGACTCTTTCTGACAGTAGGGGTAATCACCTGCTGAAGCGAGAATGAGAATATTTGAGATTTGTATTCCACTATATTAAAAAACTTGATTTTATATTAAGACATAAAATAAATCTATAAGTGACATGATATATTTTCAAATATATCACTAAAAAGGTAAAAGAAAACCCCATGGTCTAAAATTCAATGAGGTAATGTCATGGTTTCTCCCCCAAGAAAAAGAATAAACTCTCAAAAAAGAATTAATAAAAGTTCTATAAAATAATTTTAATTCCATGGTAATGTCAGCTACTGTTTATTGTAAATAACCACACATACCATACCAAAAGTTGTGTAGCCATTGGAGAACACTTGAAAAATATGTATGTGCTTCTTGAATGATAGATTGAATGAGGCAAAGAACTCAGCATATGAGACGTGGTCCACATTCAATATAAAGCCTATAGGTATCCCTGTGGCTGCAGCTGACTTGATCTGGAGATTGGTTCATTAACTTGTGCCTCTATTTTGAATCTGACTATTTTACTTCCCGACTTTTCATTTGATATTTTTTATGTCACCCTTCTGACCATTCCAAATTGTGTCTTATAATATCAAGCTAAAATTCAACTCTAGATGCCTTCTATTTTCTCCTGTTTCTCAACTTCCAAAGTCAAATGTCACATTTCCACTAATCGACAGTCAATATTACATTCTTTACATGCAATCTAAAGAACAAAATAAATAAACAAAATAGTTACAGAGAATAGACTGATGATTGCTAAGCAGGAGGGGATTTGGAGGACTGGATGAAAATGTTGAAGGGATTAAGAAGCACCAATCAGTAGTTACGGAATAGTCACAGGGATGTAAAGTACAGCATATGGAATATAGTCAATAATATTGTAATAACTGTGTATGGTGCCAGGTGGTAGCATTTGTTTTACCTTTTTCCCCACTTGATTACTCTCAGTTTCTATCTCAGTGCCTGGCGTGTGGCTCTTCCTCAGTCTTTATTGCATATATGAATCCTATATGTTAAATACAATTCTACTCTGTGAAAATTTTAGTTTCAAAACTGTTTACACAGTATTCTGAAACTATTCTAATATCCTCATGTAAATGTCTGAGAGCATATTACATAGTGCCTCTTATTGTGCATGCATGAAAAAGAAAATATTGACCAGAGATTGATTCTTAGTTTCAGATTGTGTCCTCTCTTTCAATGAAGAACCATCAACATTTGGCAAGAATTAGATGAATAACATTCTTAAGGTGGTAACTCAACTGACCTTTGCTTCCCTATTGCTGCTTGAGAAACTTATGTTTGGTTTGGTTTTAGAAAGCCCGCTGATGGGCACACACCAGGTCCCAGAAATTTTATCATTTTTCTAGTGCTTTGTCAAGAAGAAACATCAATGGCCAGAATATAATAAATTCTAGAAATTTGTGAAGTTTATTCCTGATATTAGAGTAAGAGAAAAATGTATAGAGATTCACATAGGGAAATGAGAACAGAAACTCTTCTTGTCAGTATAGCTACACCAGCCCAGTGTTAGTTTCTCAATGAGATAGCTAATATATATATATATATATATATACATACACACACACACACACGTATATACATATATACGTGAGTGTATCAAGAACTGAATTTCTGTAGATGTTGTGTGTGTGTGTGTTCACAAGAACACTCATAGGTACAGAGCTATATCATAAATTCTATTATAACTCTTCTTGAATTAAAAGCAAATTTCTCCCTTTTCCTTTACAGGATTGCCAGCATCACACTGCTGGTGACTTCTGTGAACGATGTGCTCTCGGGTACTATGGGATTGTCAAGGGATTGCCAAATGACTGTCAGCAGTGTGCTTGCCCTCTGATTTCTTCCAGCAACAAGTAAGATTGAGAAATATGACCATGTTTCCCAATCAGTAACACCATCTGTTTAGCACATGGGCTTTCAGATTTGGCTACATTTTTCATGTAGAGAAAAACCTCCATTTAAAATGGAGATTTTTTTAACAATATAAAAACATGACAAAAGTGAACATGTAATACCTTATGTTTCATTTTTCCTTTAAACCCTTGTTCCAAGTAAATAGTGCTTATTAATTAAGATGGACATGTAAATGTTAACATACATTTGTGAAATAAATATGTACAAATGTACATAACTTTATGTATTTTTATAGATGTCTAGTGTTTGCACATAGGTCCACCATAAATCCAGCTATGAAGGATTGTTTGGGTGCATATGATATCTCTTTTGGGGCTGTTTCTATTCATTTTGTATTTATTTCATGATTGGTAAAGAATTACCAAGAAAATAATTGAAAAACGGTATAGTTGAAGCAGGGCGACTTATTGTTATGCTCCAAAATACGTCAGTGTCTCCCAGAAAGACAGCCTCTTTTCTGTTAAGATAGGCCAGGCTTGATACCATAGAAACAGCCACAAGGGGAAGCGAATCTGGAATATTTTATTTCAGCACTGTGTGAACTCTCTGCATTGGTTTATGTATTGATGAAAACCCCTAAGTGTTTTCATTTATGTTTTTGCTAAGGCTGTCTCCACTTTCTGCGAAGTGATTTATAGACTTCAACCTCTATAGGGTAGGGCAGTTTTTCTCTAAATATTTTCCCTTGAAAACAGGGTAGAACTTCAGAATTAGAATCCTGGACATCTTGCATTGAGTATATAAGAACCACTAAGCAGCTCAGCTAAAAAGATCATTCCACCTGTGCTTAGTTGTTTTTGGGGGGGTTTGTGTTTTTTTTTTTGTATATTTGCCTTTGTATACATTCTAGAAACATTTCTTGTAAATTGTCTCCCTTGCTCTTGCAAGTTCCTGGTTCTTTGTTTGTTTGTTTGCTTTGTTTTGTTTTTCATTGAACAGAATCACAGGTCTTTTATGGGGAATCAAATGTAAATGTTGAGGTAAGTTGGATATTGATGCTGATAATACATGTGATCTCATTATTCCATCCAAGCACCAAGTGGTAGGTTGTGAAAAATAATATTATTTTCATTTTGTTTCCCTAATCTCCCTCTGATCATCAAATTCAAATAAGAGAAAGCTATTTATTTTATTGCTTATTAAAATGTGAACCATTTGAATTAGAAAAATTCAACAATTAATTGATAATTTACTGTTGGGTGAACTATAACAAAAGCTGTAGGAGATATAAAAGAGAAGCATAATGTCTCTTGGAGGAGCTCACAAAACATGCATCTTAAGAGAAGTCAACTTAAATGTAAAGAGAATTCAAAGGCACAAAATATTGCACTTGATTCTGGAGGATTCGAAAACATACTAAAAGAAGGAACAGTATTTATAATGGATCCTAAACAGTGAATTGAAGGAGTTTTACTGGTACAGACAGTAGGAAATTTTGTGAGTAAAACCTTGGAAAATAGAAAACACCAGGCATGTTTAAGAACTAGTAAGTAAGAGGATTTGGAGCAGGATTTCAAACAGTATCATAATTGCAGATGAAAATAAATGGGAAAATGGAGACCATTTGTAGACAGCTTTGAATACCAGTCTAAGAAATTGCTGTTTAATTTTCTATGTAATAAAAAAAACACTGCAAGTTTTTATTATTAAAAAAAGTTGATGTGAAGAGAGCTTTAGGACTATTACAATAAAGCTGAATATAATGAATTGAAACAGGCAAAGAAAAAAGTGAATAGACCAATTAAAAAGCTATTGCATTAGCTTAGGCAAAAGATAATTAGAACCTAAAGCTACATAATAGTAACAAGAATAGAGACAGGTAGATGCATGCGGGAAAATTGTTCAATGCAATTCTACAGAATTGGTGACTAATTAGATATGAGAAGTGAAAACCAATAAGCCAGAGTAGAAGACAGAGGTTTTTAGCCAAGTTGACCCGCCATATGGTGGTGCCATCAATTGAAATAGAAAAAATAACAGAGAGCTACAGAGAGAAGAAAGACAATTTATCTTTCAAATAGGTTGAAATTTATATGAAGGATCTGTGTGAAGGGAGGCATGCATATAGCTACAGGAAATGGAAATCTGAAAATTTGAAGGGCACATGAAGGAAGCCATATGTTAACAAATGAATGAAAGTCAGGTAAGATTTCCCAGGGTACTGCGACCCAAGCGAAGCACATGGAAAGAAACATAAGACTGTCTGCATTAGGGAAGCCAGAAGAGAAAGAAGAACAGACAAGAGCTGTCAGAGGACAGGGAAACCAGGGCCACACTGCCATTGGCACCACAAAAGAGAAGAGCAGCAGTAAAGGAGCAACAGGTTCTCCTGGTTCGAGGGAGACTCAGTACCTATAGTGGTGATAAACCTGATAAACTGTGAGGGTCATTGCTGAATTCTGACAATGATGAAATCAGACATTAGATTACAAGGGTGTGAGTTTACCACTTTAAGAAATTTCAAGAAGGAAAAGAAAGAGTACTGCCTTGATTTTTTAGAATAAAAAAAGAGTTTGTTTTCTTATATAGGATTTGTATAATTTAAGTACACTTTTTTATGTAAAGGGCCTTGTGAGAATAAAAACACCAAATAAAAGCGGCTAGTTCAGTGGCTTTCAAACTTATTGATTGCAGTCACTGTAAGAAATACATTTTTATAGCATAACCTACTGTACAAACACTTGCATGTGTAACTGTCTATCTGTCTCATAGCATACCTTCTTTATTGTTATTGTATTACAGTCGTCCCAGTTTTCCCCCCTTTGTCCTCCTCTGTATGGCCCATTTATCTCAGTAGTGTCCACAGGGCTCGCACATAGGAGCAGACTCTAAATCATAAAAAAGCTGTTGAGGCAAGTTTGGAATTAGCAAACATAGGAAATGTAAAAGATGACCACCAGGAGAAAAGTTCAAGAATATCTGAGAGGCCCTGTAGATAATATGAAAATCGAGTGCATATAAAGGAGTTGTGAGCAGAAAAAAAACTCTTAACTTCAAGTAAGATGTAATTCCTACTTCCTCTTTCATAAATCCTTCTGTGTGATACAAGGAAAAGGTTTAATCCACCACAACATCATAATTCAAAAACAGTTTATATCAACTATTCAAGGAGAATTATAACCTTCCTACATTATAATTGAGACAAATAAGTTACTGCAAAGGAGTATGATTTCATTATGTTAGCTCTCTAGAGTTTCCCTTGAAATATCTAACAATCTATTTCTAAGTGCCTGTGTATGCACTTAGAGATGCACATACAGAGATGCACTCACCATCGAGCTATGAATTAAAGGGCTAAATGTTTGCAAAATGTGTCAACTGACAATGTAGGTCTATTTGCAGGTCTATTTTTGTGAAGGCAAAAAATAAAAGTTTTGGATAATGAGTTTGTGAATAGCAGATCAATTTGTTTACATATTTTGCAAAGTTAGAGTTATTACTCATTCATATACTATTGATTTATACATTACAAGAGAGAGAAAATAAGGCCCTGAAAGCATCTTTGCACCTTATCTGACCAACAGAAGTTATGACTGTCATCTTTGCACCTTATCGCTTCTTTAGCATTGCCTGAGTTAGCAGACCAACAAAAGGAAAAATGGTGTCTGCAGCATGACCATTTTGCAGCAAATATATATGTTTTTTATTTCAAAGATTCTAGTACACCATGTAGTTTTATCCGGTGGTAATGCAGCAACATTTACATTTGAGAGAAGTTCATTCCAGCTCACAAAGTGCATGTTAATACAGCTTAGATTTCAAGTCTTGTCAGGTCTTTCTCTTGTAGGGTAGGATGATTAGCAAGTCCAGCAGCAAACCTACCTGGCTGTGATCTACACAGTGTCATGATAGAAACAGGGCAAGTTATGTAAGACCTACTTATTAGCAAAGATCATAAAATTGTTAGAAAATCTTACCCATTTCATGTAAAAGCTTCCCTTCTTTTCTCACACAAAATCACTTTGTGTTTCAAGTAAAATGTAGTTTGAAATTTGTATGTAAATTAGAAAAGGCACTCTTTATTTTAAGTGAAACATTTATTCAGCCTTCATATATTAAAGTGCCAGTGGCAATTTGAATTGAGTTTTCAGAAAAAGAATTATACAGCTTTTATGTCCTCTCTTTTTTTTACCTGAAAGATATTTAGTAACATGTATTCTAGTCCTGTTTTTTTTTGATTCATGAAAAATGGTCATTTTCATGGTTGTCATGTAATTATTAAAATTTTAACATGGTCAATGTGATGCATTGTTAATTTGTTCAAAATCAACCATATATATTTGTTGACTATTATTAGTAGTATTCAGTTAAAATATTCTACCCCTGCATGGGAACTTATAAATAGGCATTTAAAATCACCTAAAAATAAGTGACATTCCAATCATCTAGATCGTGGACAGAATCACTTACATTTATAAAATAAATAGGTGGAGATATGTTTTACAATTTTATTTTTCTGCTTCAGTTTCAGCCCTTCTTGTGTCATGGAAGGCCCCGATGATTACCGCTGCACGGCTTGTCCACGTGGATATGAAGGCCAGTACTGTGAACGGTAGGAGCAGCCATGGTGCACAGATGGTGCTGACACTTAGCGATGGTATAATAGGGGATCGTAACAGAAAAGCATTCACTGCTTTTGTAACTTCATTATTTTCATATTCACTAGTTATTTATGTGCTTTCAAAATGGTTTTTCTACCTTTAGAGTCTCTCCAAAGAAACAAAGTATTTCACAATTTTCTAATCTATTTTAGTGTATAAATATAAACACATACATGATAATTTATATAATAGATATAAACATATATGATAAGATGCATGTAGTATATATATAGATAGTATGATAGTATATGATAGTATATATGTGTGTATATATATAGAGAGAGAAGTTTTAAAAGAATAAATCAATTTCTAAAAGTTTTTAAGTAGTTAACAATAATGAAAAACTGACCGTACATAATTCTCATTTCAGTTAAGTGGAAAATATTGGCTGGCACTAATTACATGCACATCACTGTTCTGAGCACTATGGCACTATGCCAGCAAGTGTATACATAATTCAGAATATAAATTGTATCAAACATTCTTAATTAGAATAACCCAAATGATAAAGTATTTGTTATTCGGCCCTCCTTTTCAATAGGCAAACAATATTTAAATGCTCGCTCTCACCATGTTCTTTACAAAATCTGATAACAGATGTATATAGTTATTAAATTGAAGCCAACTATAATACAAATGGTAAATTAAGAAGCACAATTTCAGACTGACTATCTAGTAAGTTTGTAATTATTATTTTCTGGATCCATGTTTTCTCTAACATCAGTATCCTGGATATTCAAGCTTATCGCTACCATTTTTCATATGTTTTAGGTAACATCTCTAAAGTAACAGAGTAACTGATATTAACTATTAACATTTTACACACATGATTATTTTTGCATAATTGATTACTATACATTTTTATGAAGACCCATGGACATAGCCTAGCTCCACCAGCTTAGCTGAATCCCATTTTTCTCACCTCTAATATCAGAAGAGGTGATATTCTATCTACTTTAAACTAACATGAAGATCAAGTCCACAGAAGATACTGTAGGTGCCTTGCCTAAACACCCACATAGAAGCCTCCTCCTTCACAAGAAAGGCAAAAAGGCCCCAAAATTGATCCCACCTTCCTCTAGAGGTTTCAAGTCAATGACTAATATGAGAGTGCAAAAGTTTAGCGTCTTTGCCCCAAAATTGAACAAATTTTGAGATGTTATTTATGCTACAGAGCTTTTCATGGAATTAGGCTGAATATTACCTAGAATCATACCATTGCATGGATCATTTCTTTTCCATATCCTGCTTTACCCACTCTTCTGCTGGATTTTCCTAGGAGCACTTTCCTAAATTATGACTCTCTTTGCAAATATAAACCCATATTAATTTTATCATCGCTCATTTAAGAATCTTCTTTTGATATAACCAGTGATGGTTGTGTTAATAATGAAAATAAGTAGGTAACTAAATCATTAAAATCAAGTTTTATAAATTTTAATGCAGTTTCTATGTTTGCAAAATATATTGCCAAATAGTTCTATAAGTGGTGACTCTAAACATAATATGCAATACTTGCATGTACATTACAGTGCATTCACAATTTCCATATCAACAGAAATTAGCAGCAATTAAATAACTCAAAGCAATACAAAATTCAAAACTATTTCCATTTGTTTTATATATATGTACACATATATAATATCACTTGAATATATTTTAATATTCACCAGTGTGCTTTGGTATTCATTCTTAGGCTAAAATTCATTTCATGCCCTTGTAAACTCCAGTAGGATAACTAAAAGCATCCCTGAACACCAAGGAAATTATCTGCAGTAATTTATGGAAAAAAATGTTTGATAGCATAGCTACATTTCTACACTGAAGTTACCACCATATATGATAGCATGTGTATAGAAAAGACTGGAAGGTACACTGAAATGTCTATTATTGTCTTAAGGCAGAGTGATTACAGAAAAATTACCTTTTTAATATCCATTAATGTTTAAGAAGTAAGAGTTGACAGTTTATATAGCACATTGGTGATCAGGGTCATACATGTGCATGGCTTGAATTGTTTTTGCAGTTTTCAAACATTGCAGCTTTACATTTATCATCTCTAACATAAATGATCAGGATATATTTCCCTGAAAAATTACTTTTATTCAGCTAAATTAAACCAAAGGTCTTGGTTAAATTTTTACTGTAACCTTCCAAATAAATTTGTTCCACTTCTGAGAGCTTCTTAAATCATTTAAATCACCTTACGACCTGCCCAAACTCATCAGCTCATATCTAAAACTGCTTAAATGTCTTGAGTGTCCCTGTAGAAGTGTAGAGAACCCTCCCCATGGTTTATCTTAGTTATTCTTGCAATAAACTCTTTGGGCATTTAATCAATCCGAACCTGCATAGAATAAATTCTTTCACCTGCAGATGTTAAGAAATAACTTAAGTGCATTTATTTAAATGACACTTTTATTGAGCATGTATAATGTTATATTGGAAATAAAATAACAATTACAACCATACTTGTATAAAAGCCTAATATTGCAAAAAAATTTCTTCTTGCTTTGCTTTTCTAACCAGGACAAGATCAATTAACTTTCATAATCAGCCATGCAAATTTTCATGGTACCAGGTCATAAAGATGGTCCAGGATTATTTGCCCAGTGTTAATGACTTTTGGCTTCAACATCCTCCTGTCTCTCAACTTCCTACCATGCTTGCCTTTGAACAAAAATTCTGACTGTTGATTATATTTAGGCTGACTATGTATAATTTATTGTCCAATCAAAGATACCTGAAGGAATAACAGGAAGTGTTTTAATAATTAAGCCAGGACAATAGATAATCTGAGACCATTGTTGGTAAACCAGAGCATCTGGTCTGGTTAGCATTTTGTAGAGTTACCACTTCTAATCACATAACCAAGGGTGTACTCTTAGACAAATGAATGCATGGATGGGTGGAAGAGTCATTGAGTGGATTGCATTTTGGGTTTATCCAGTTGGATTTCCCTTGTAATTTCTCAAACTGATGTTATATATTTTATTTGTAAAATATTATCCCACTTCCATGGATACACAATAAAAAATTCATCTTGAGAAAGGTCTGTTAGAAAGGAAAGAGCGATAGAACTAAATAGAAAGTCTAATTTATTGTCACTTAACTTCCTTCTTGTCACTCATTAATAAAATTAATGGGTTTGTTACTGGCAGACGTGTTCTTGCCCCACCTCAAGACAGAAATCAAGAGAGGAAGTTAAACAGATACAAAAGAGAAGATGTTTACTAAGAACTAGGTGACAAGGAGAAGGAGGGTGGAGGGAACTTGACACTGACAGAGTATGGCTCTCCTAACTGCTACTGGGGTCTTGCTTAAAGAGTGCTGGTTTCCTCTGTGCAGGCGCAGAGTGGATCTCTTTGGTCTGCAGGTTCCCACCATGAGCTGGCATTTACTGGCTCAGGCACAAACACATTGGTTTGGGGAATGCTTGGGGGGAAACCGTAAACTTGTAGGAGAGACTCGAGAAGTAACTGAAGGAATTCCCGTCCATCGAAGAGAGGCTCAGCCTGTCTCAGTTTGAATGGTTCTGTCATTTGATATCTAAAATACATGAGTCTAGGAAAGCTGGGGAGTCAATATATAATTTCATTTACTTCTAATTTAAAAAAAAACAAGATTTCAAAAAATAGTTGATGCTCTAGAGCAGGGATGGGCAAACTATAGTCCACCAAATTTGGCCCATTACCTGATTCTGTATGACACTCCAGATAAGAACAATTGTTGCAGGCAAACATTTCCAGTCACTTTGGTGATAGGAAGCATTACATTTGACCTGTACTTGCATACATTTGATATGTCAACAAGAATTCTATTCTTTTCACCGGTAGATTGGTTTTACTTAGTAGATTATCATTATAATCTTGAATTCTATCAACCAAAAAAGCTTGAAATTTTATTTATCTCTCAATAAATGATTTCCATCTTGCCTCTTGAACCACAAAACTTAAAATATTTATTATCTGGCTCTTTACAGAAAATGTTTGCTGACCCCTGATCTACTGACTCTTGGTATCAGTTTCATTTCATTTAAAACAACACACACAACAGCAATCCAGAGACTAGACATTATCAATTCCCTTTGTTTTGTCACTGTTTCAATCCAGGTGTGCCCCTGGCTATACTGGCAGCCCAAGCAGTCCCAGAGGCTCCTGCCAAGAATGTGAGTGTGACCCCCATGGCTCAATGCCTGTCCCCTGTGATGCTGTCACAGGGCTCTGCACGTGCCGACCTGGAGCCACGGGGCCGAAGTGTGATGGCTGCGAGCACTGGCATGCACGAGAGGGCACGGAGTGTGTTTGTACGTATACTAACTTAGCTGTTCATTCTGGGGGCTTTGTTCCATTCTGTCTCCTTTCCAGTGAGGTTTTTTTTATGTTTTAAATATATATATTTAAAACATAAAAAAAATATATGTGTGTATATATATTGCAATAGCTAGTGCTTCATTCTTTCTGGTGCTCTGTATCCACCTTGTGCCGTTTGCCTGCTGTCTTTGTCTCCATCCCACTGAGCCAAGAACAGCTGAGAAAATTGACATGCTTTAGTCAGTTCATTGAAAACCTACAACAAAGCTCCTAGAGGCATATTTTGTTTTTATTTTGTCCATCTCAAAGTTGGCATTGTCTTTGTAATAGATTAAAGATCTGGGTTTATTAATTTTTTAGAATCTTCCTGAATTTGTAATTGGCTGGACAGACACTTTTAGCCTTGAATTAGAACGGACTTTTCCTAGCTTTTACAGAATTCTGTGGGCTTACTGCTTCTAACTTTCTCCTGAAGTACAGAATCTGGAAGTATTGGCAATGAACTCAAGAACATGTATGACAAATGAAGACCAAGTTAGCTTGCTCTCTCTCTCTCTCTCTCTCTCTTTTTTTACCTGCTTCTGGATTCAGTAATGCCATATTGAAAGTACATGAAATGTACTATGACTATTGGATCTTATACAAATTCTAATCTAAAATAGGTCATTTATAAGTTTAGACAGGGACTCTTATGTTATGGTATTCTTTTCCTTGAGGGAATTTACACTGATGATCTTAATTCTTTCTAACAAAGAGGAAATAATATTTCAGTTCTTTTATTTCAATATTTATCTATTTTTGTGTATTTATCCATGCTAATATTTCTGGTTTTGACATCTTATGTGTGTCTAACTCTTAATAGCATCTTAATTAGAATTTTTGTTTGTGTTCTAGTTTTGTAAGAGTTACTTCAAAAATTAAGGATGGCTTTTAAAATATGCTGACAAATAAAGACTGAATGTGTTTAGGGATGTAGATTTTTAAATTATTTTTCTATGTATTTCAAACATCTTTAATGAAAATGTATTACAGCTAAAATAAAAATAAATGTCAAAATTAATGGGAGAGAGATTAAGTATAATACACATTGACATTATCATATTCAGTTAATGATGTATACATATTCACTCTTCTCCAATATAATGGCATATTTTAATGATAATTTAAGTAGGCTTCCAACATAATCCAACTAAGTTTTAATATTGTTTCCAAGTTTAATTATTAATGTGGATATATTTAATTAGATAATTGAAAGATACTAAACAGTCCTTTAATTTTAAATCATCAACTTTATTAATTATCCAGAAGTAAACTTAAAATAAAAAGATCACATTCAATGTGAAGCACAAAATATTGCAATAACATTAAAAATGTGTGAGAGATAAAATAACGGGATTATTTTCTGAACATTTCTTCTAAAGGCAGTTGTCATTCTGCCCATCAATAACAAGGGTTCTAAGTTCTTATTCTGTTGATAAGTAATATTTTATTTACATCTGAATAAATTCACATCTAAATAAATAAGAAAGCTCAACTCATTTTTCCCTGTCACATCCGTGAATCTTACATCTCTGCTGGCTCCTGTGAAGACAACTAAGTGCCAATCCTCCGGTTACAAGGTTATACCAGCTTGATGCTGTCCATTTGCATTATTTTTGTATTTCCAACTACTATACAGGATATTCAGTCCGCTTGCTATGTCCAGAAAATTTTAATATTCTTCGGGAGGATTATATACTATTTAGATATCTTTTCTTAACTGTTTATATCAATTTTATCAATAAACACAATATTTCTTCTATATTTAAAAATACTTAAAATCAATATTTTCACTTTGTAAATGATGTATAGATTTTCTTCATGCTGCTCTTAAATTAGTGATTTTCATTCACTGCTAGATGTTTAACTTTACCCTGCATTAGCTTAACTATAAGAATTGTTACACAGAGTACCTTCAGATTTTTTTTTCATTTTATAAAATTTCTCCTATGGTGGAAAATATATCATAGTTCTGTTATGTTGGCCTTTCCCAGAACTTGGTTACTACTTCTAGTTTTGAAATGAGAAAATAACACTACATACAAGTGAGTTAACTCTGACTTTTTCTCAATTCTCTTTTTAATATCTTTCTGTATCCGTAAGCTACATTAGACAAGAGAACAAAGAATGGACTCACCTGGCATATTTGACCTGCAGGGCCTGTTTTATGATATGTGACTAGAGTGGAATTTTACAAGACCCATGGGTGGGAGTGGATGGAGGTAGTCTGCTTCAGGTGAGAGAATATATGTGTGGTAAGAGAAATGGCATCTGAGAAAAGCTTCTTCACCCACATTACCTCAATCAAGAATAAAGATAAAATGGGCTAAAAGATGAAAAATTTTAAATATATATAATGTCAATATGATTGCTATGATAGAGCCTTAGTCATCAGAAATTGTCACGTGAAGGCCTATCTTCTATGCAGGTGAAAAGATACAGGAGCTAGTGCTCAGATTCCCTTCAGTTTTTTTTTTTAATTTTTTTGTAATAGAAATAATTTGGACCAGCTCCACAATGTGTACTTCCCAGTGCACGTTGATGATTTCTGAGTGGATATTTTCCCGAACTTCCCAAATCAGGGGTTCTTCTTAGTAAGTTCGGTTAATACGAATCTCATCTCCTCCTTCAACTTGAACTCATAGTTCGCATGTCATTTTATGAAATGAGAACAACTACCTGCCTCTCTAAGATTGGAAGATGAGCAAGAAAGCTGTTATTTGTTTAATACTAAAGTTCTATATTGTTAAACAAAGAACTTGGCTTTGTTCATGTCCCATTTTCTACAGACACGTGATTAACACAGAACAACTCACATGATATTTAGAATAGATTATGAGTGGCACAGTAAAATACATTACTCTCTTAGAGGACAGAAATCAAAATTAGAAGCTGTTGGCAAGATGTAATTCCATAAAGAGTGCCAAAATAGCATTTTATATAAATATCAAATTGATGCTTCCTATTGTATTCATTGCATATGAAATATTAGAACTGTATCAGATTTATTATTTATAATCACAATTTACCTCAAATATGACATTGAAGATGCTGTTTTGCTCACCAATGTTGCAAAAGCAATCATGAAGTATGTTTTTTACCTGCAACCTAAGGTAAACCTCGCTAAATGTGGTAACACACCTTAACTCTGCAAAATATGTACCTTCCAGCCACTTGGGAAAACCTGAAGCCTAAAGTTTTTCCCAAACTTGATACTGATCTGCAGAGACACAATCAAGATTACTAGTTTTACTTGCCAGTTGCCACCAAGGATCTTATCACAATAATGCAGCGACCCTTAACACGTTGTCCCCAGAACAGGGCTGCACTCACAATCAAAGATGATTACTAGTGGCAGTTATTGTTCCCTGTATATGAGAACAGGAACAAAATAGTGGAATGTGGTTCATCACTGTGAAGAAAATGGGATTTTCTATGATAAAAAAATTATGAAGAATCATCAGTTGACCTCCAGATACTATTTAAAGAGCTATGACTTTGCTCATTGGACGTGTGATCACCCTCTGGCCTGGCCCCTTACATGCCATCCTATCCTTGTCCCCACTTAATCCTCCAATACTAGTTCCTATTCAAAGGCCAGTATGTCTAGTCTACTGTTCTACAACTCTTAAGCCGTGGCATATTGATCAAATCCAGGCACCAGAGAAGCTATAAAAGAAACTTTTGTTCACCCTGTTTGACCTTCTCTGTATCTATTTTGTTAGTAAAAGGTGCTTTGAGTTTCTTATCGTCAACCTCCTTAGAATAGGTACAGGCTAACAACTCTGTGGAAGAGCAAATACTCTGACCCTAGATAATTTTCCTAGTTATTGGCAATTAGTCTCCGTTGTTTGTCTGTCACATTGAGAAAGCTGTTCTGTTAATGGACTGAAGGAGTTCTCTGGTGAACTGTCATATAAAGGAGGCTGATTACAATTTCTTTTATTTTCCATCAAGCTTTATTTTACAGGTAAACTCATTTGATCACAGTTTTTACTCTGCTAGATTCAGGAAGTTTATTGACCTCACAGAACAATAGAGTTACATGATTTTAACCACCACCTTCTCTGACATAAGGAAGCACACTGTTGTCAAGTGGCTCTAGCAACCTTGCATCCTTGCAGGACACATATGACTTGTATGACATTACTTAGCTTTTCTAAACCTCATTTCATTCTTTGTGAAATGGAAATAAAATACTACATGCATGCATGCAAAATATTTAAGCATACTAGATGCTCGAAAAATTCCAGAAAATTTTTTCTAATAAGATTATTATCTCATGGTTGTTATTATTTGATCATTTTTTCAAATGCATAGTATTTTTTGAAGCCCATCAGTTTCTGATGAAATGTTTAGGTTAGGCTAAATTTTGATTTTCTATAATTACCTCTAATTCTAGACTCTTCAAGTCACTGAAAAGCTCTTATGAACATCTTACTTTTTCTCATCTCTTTAAGTTTCTATTTATAGATTTGTAAATACAGTGATTGTGACTCTTTTTCTCATCTTCAAAGTGAAGACATTAATAGTACTTCATAAAATTGCTGTAAACATTAGGTAATCATGGTAAGACACAACATATTACCTGCTACATAGTGAATATTGTATAGATAAAAGCTATTTCATTATTATTGATAGTATTACCAAAGCTTCTATTTTTTGGAAAAGGTACACCAAACTGGAACCAGATTGAATATGTTTTTCACATATATTTATGTACAGAATTTTGTTTAACATATATGTTAAGTAAAATGTATATGTACATATAGAATTTGAAATTAAAACATACAAATTTATATCATATATATCACAACTTGGTACATGAACAAATTCATCAGCCTCACCTAAAGCTCACCAGATACCTTTATCTCTATTCAAAGAAATAACAGGAAAACAAACAAACAAAAAGCCTTCTTAATCAGCTTCAAACCAAATTTTTAGTTTAGAAGCT